AATGGATGGATGGATGTTTTGAAGTCTCAAGTTTGGAATTTGGCTGACAGCATGTTTCAAAACCGAACACAACGAGTGAGGAGTGGATCTGACTGAGAACTCAACAACACTACATACAAGGGTATTTCAAGAAGTTCTCGGCCACACCCCCAACAAAGGGGCTGAACACCCATTTTGGGGCATAACAGTGGACTATAATATCACTGCTCACAAAAACTTCTTTGACGTTCCTTGAAAATCGGTGAGAGGGAAACCAAAAAATGGACAATAGAGAAGCCAGAGCTGGACACTGACGTTGATGGTTTCAACTATGTGTTGGTGGTCACATGTACAGTTGAAACCAGAAATTTACATCCACTGTATAAAAGGACATATAAACTTTTTTTTCTCCCTTGCTGTCTGACATTAAATCAGACTAAAACTTTTCCTGTTTTAGGTGAGTTAAGATTACCAAAATTATTTCTATTTGCCAAATGCCAGAATAACAACAGAGAGAATTTTTTTGCAGAATGGATAATAACAGTCTCTCACCAGCTTCAGCAGTTTCTTCACAAGATCTTTTGCTTTTGTTCTGGGGTTCAACTTCATCTCTGGGACACACAACCTGTCTCCTTCCTGAGTGGTATGGTGGCTGGACATTCCCATGGTGTTTATACTTGTGTAGGAACCTTCAGGCATCTGGAAATTGTGCCCAAGGATGAACCAGACTTGTGGAGGTCCACAGTTCTCTTCCTGATATCTTGATTGATTTCTTCAGATTTTCCAAGTTGTCACAAAAGGAAGCAGTGTGTTTGAGGTATGTCTTAAAATACATCCACAGGTGTGCCTTCAATTAACTCAAACGTTGTCAATTAACCTATCAAAAGCTTCCAAAGCCATGACATCATCATCTGGGCTTTCCCAAATAGTTTGAAGACAAAGCAGTCTTAGTGTATGTAAACTTCTGACTTTAAATAAGTTACGACAAAATGCCTGGACTTCAAATGAGACGTTTCAAGCAGGTAAGGAGACATGGCTGCCCTGTATACATATTGAGGCATTAAGCAATGACAGTGTGGTTATATTTCTGCAGCTAGCCCTTTTTCTTTTTTTTCTTTTTTTTCATCTCAAGGCTGAAATTACACTTCAGACCATTTTGTAGAGTGCTGCAGCTGCATCCCCCATGGAAGGGAGTGTGCCTCAGAGGTAACACTGGTCAGCTGGCATCATTTATAATGTCTGTGACATTCACACCTGGACTATGGGAAGCTGGCAACATGTGCATCTGGAAGAGACACGTGGAAAAGAGTGACTCACGTGTGCCACAAAGCTCTTGTGAACATCGATCTCAATACGCAGAAGGATGGTCAGAAACATCTACGCTTCAGGTAAACTAACAACAGGTTTCACGCAGATGTACACGACACAAAAATCTGTGCCAATTTGGTAAACTGTGTTTTTCTTTTAAAGAATCATATTTTGATGTTAAAGTTCTGCTTGCGGCACACAATTTCTCTACGAATAATGTTCCGTACCAAAGTCATTATTTACATTTGCGTCCAAGGTTGAAATTTATGATGAATAACTTTGTGAAGAAAAGTTGGCATTTGTGTGACTACACTTTCAAAAGGCTTTACAAGAAAAATGAAGATCCAGAGCAGCATGTAGAATGACAAGTGGGGAGACTTGAAGGAGGATGAGCCCACAGGACCTGTTAAAAAAATGTTTTGTCTCAGAATGTATTAGATATATCAAGCTAGAATTTCACATTTTAAATATCCGTAGTTTATGATCTAAAGGTTTTAAGTAAATCAAAGATGGTCGAGCAGAAGGCCCCTGAAGATTTGAGGTGGAATAATCCACATTTGTTGGCCTTTCTGACAGCATATTAACTAACCCTGTGACTCACTGAGAGAAATATTCACAAGATGTATACATTTAAAAAAAAAAAAGAAAGAAAAAGTATTAACTAAATGTGGAATGACAGTGTTTTCCACAGGACAGGCTTTCAGTACAGCTGCTGATTTGGAGCAATCATTCATCATGCATCTACAAACAATAAACGACTAAAACAAGCTGCTGAGAGGAGCTGCAGATTCAGGTGATAATTCTCTCTAACTGGTACAACTTAGCACCATGTAAATAGAATCAAATTGAACTGAACGTCTTTCACATTGCATCTGACATGTTACAAACACAGCAATTACTCTCAGACATAACAAGGGTAAGAGGTGCACTTGGGCTTTGATTTCTTCCTCTGGGAACGACAAAAAGCACAACCACACATTTCAAGCCTTTTTCATGGTCACTTTTTATTCCATTCACATATTTACACACAAACACACCCTGTCAGTGTTTGTGTGTGTGTGTGTGTGTGTGTGCGTGCGTGCGTGTGTGTGTATGCAAGTGTGTCTGCCAGGACAAGAAATAAAAATCAAACAAAATCTGTGAAATCATCGACTGTTGATACGAGTCTTTTCCTTTGCCCCGAGGCTTCTGGGTTTGGCGCTGGAGTGCTCTGCTGGAACGACTTGTTCTGCTGAGTGTGTCCTTGGGTCAGCGAGATGCCGGGAGTTGATCGAGACTGAATATCTTCTTGAGCCTGAGCCAAAGCAGAGAGAAGGCGAGATTTATCAAATGCAGGGGAAATTCAGAAAATCAATAAGTGAAAGCAGAGATTAGGGAGAACTGTTGTTGGTCTTACTCTGGTCCTGATCCTCTTAATGTGCCGTAATCTTGCCAGCCACTTTGAGGCGTACGCATCAGAGGGGTTAGCTCTGTACTGATGCACCAAAGAGGCCATCTTGGGAGAAACAAAGAAGAGTCAGGAAGGATGTCTACATTTGTCTGACTGGACGTGAGAAAGAGGAATGAAGTTGAAACTTACATTTGCATGCAAAGCCATCTGCCTGACTAAGAGCGGAAGGTTGCGGTCTGAAACTATTTTCGCCACCGCTGTGTCTACTAACCCCTCAAGGTCTGAAACAAAGAGCCAAAACAGAGGGAAAACAAATGAAAAATAACTGACAGCCACAAGGAACTTGAGCAGAAAAGAAACAAGGGGATTAGCTCACCTTTGCGGCACTGAAGGGTGACGAGGTTACATTCATAATCCAGCGGTTTTATAATGACTTCTACAAAGTTAAACTGACCCTAAAGGAGAGATCAAGAAAAAGATGGTGCTTTGAAGGACAAAATGTACACTGCAGAGTTCAGATTTTCAGTCATGCGTGTGTGTGTGTGTGTGTGTGTGTTTGTGTGTGTGTGTGCATCTACCTTGATAGTGCCTAGTTTGTAGTCCTCTCCGGAGTCATTGTACACCACCATAACAAAATCGTTACCGATGTGTCGCTTTTTGTTGCAGCAGCCCTTGTCGCTCTCCCTGTTTGGCATTAGTGTGGCGATGTGGAAGATGGCTGCAGAGGCACGATCTCGTTTAGAATATGCAGCAGACTGGCCGCCCAAAACAGATTATCATAAATGTGACTCCTCCGTTCCAGTCACGTGCACACTAACCTTGCATGATGTCATCATGCCAGCAGTAGGTGAACTCTCCGTCGTCTCCGTACTGGTCGAGCCCTCCGAGGAAGATCTGGTCGGGGTCACAGTCTTTCAGGTGGATTAATTTGCCGAGGCCTGTGAGGAAGGCGGCGTAGCGGTTGGAGCCGTATTCATTCGACAGGATGGCAACTTCATTGTTAACCTGAAGAGGATCAAGGAATCAAGTCTGAGCATTTGGAAATTGTATGACCGTGATGATCAACTAAAACTGCAATCGGGGCTCTTGTGTTCTCACCTGACCAGCTCCGACAAACACTACCCCTATCTTATGGGTGTCGTAAGGAGGCATCTGGTCCAGAACCTTCACAGCACGATCTATCACCTGCCACAGAGAAAATATAATGGAAATATTGTTTGCATGGCAGTGGAGCAGATTTCAGGTCAACCAGAGAAGTCGACTCACCTGAGTTTTGGGCAGCAGCAGTGGCTTGTTGGCTTCATTTCCAAAGAAAGGAGAGTGGTAGAGCTGGAGAAAGACGAAGCTGAAGGAGATAAAAGATAAGATGCATTGTGTTTAAATACACCAGTATACCGGCGATGCATTCATTAATAGTTACATGGCTATAAAAATACAAACAAATAGAAAGAAAATCTAATCAAGCCTATTATAAGCATTGTACATGGACAGCAACGTATAGACGTAACTTGACTTCATTTTTAAATGCTGTACTATACAGATTCAGACCTGCAATTTCTATCAAACAATCTTTTAATTTGGTTTCACTTGGTTGCAAAACACCATTAAAAATTCCTTAACTTCCAGGCTGCCACTTTGGATTTTGCCAAACAAGCTGAGATGAGCTTACTGGCTTCACTTGATGCATTGCGTCATCTGGCAGAGATTCAACAGAAGCTGCAGTAGTTTTCTTGTGTAAACTATCTAGTACCTGGGACTGAGTCCAGAGATTTTCTCTGCGTTGCTGGGTCCCGGTCGACTGTGGTAAGAGTCCCTCTCCGTTCTTCTCTCCCTCCTGGAGGAGGGGGCCGATACTGAGATGGTGTGACCCCGGGGTCGGTGGCCTCCACTGGGGGAAATGGGTCCAGGTTGCGCTGGTGTTGCAGGAAAAGACAACCTCATCACTCCTGCTCCACCCTGAGAAGGCACAGCACCTGGACCATCACCTGCTTGGCTCTGCCCTCCCAGTCCATTAACATCCCCTCCTGTGCTTCCATCCACCTTTTCCTTCTCGAAATGAGGCTGCTGGAGCTGAGGCTTGCCATCTGAGGGTGCTCTGGGCCGCGCTGTGTCTCCCAACGCAGTCTCGGACTCAATGGCTAACTTGGTGAAGGCTTCAGGTAACGTTTGGAGCTCCGGCGAGGAGCTGGACTTGTTGAGTCCATGACCCTGGGACTGAGTGTGGGTCTGGAAGGGAAGTTCGGGACCTTGACTGCCTGGGGTGGAGGGTCCCAGAGTGGGCTGATCGATAGGAATCGCTCCTTCACTCACTTCTTCCAGAGTCGACTTTTCATCGTCTTGACTGGAGGTAGAGGAGGACTGAAAGTTAAAGATAAGAGTTGTTGATTTTAAAGGCAATGTACAGAAGTGATCTGTTGATTTAGCATGTTTTAGCTGTTTAAAGCATAGCCTGGTTCTGAAAGGCAGAATCCAAAAACTGCTAAGTGAGTGATCAGTGGATGTGGTCCATTTGGCTGTGCTGATCTGCCACTTGTTACAGCTGAGGCAGGGAAGACCCACTTAAAAGGAGTGCAGGCAACACTGAATATCTATCAGACGATAATGAAAGCACAGGTGGTGCAGATGCTGTGATAAACATTAATATAATATAATCACAGCTTTTAAGGGTTGGCACAGACAGTAAAGCTGCCACAAGCGCTGTGAACTACAGCATAAAACAGAAGTGAGTGTACCCCTGTGTAATATCACTTAAATGTCACGTGATTCTGAACTGTTTCACTTTAGAATAGAATAGAATAGAATAGAATAGAATAGAACTTTATTGATCCCTTTGGTGCAAACCTCAGGGAAATTATTGGATTATAGTTACTTTACAGTAACTGCATTACTTCCACCTTGAACAGTTGGGCATTTGTGCATAAGCAAAATTCAAAACTAACAGTTTAGATTTATTATATTTAAAATACAGGCCCCATAGTAGGAAATCAATGCAAATAAACAGTACTCCTGCGATTCAAGTCTTGTATTTTTTCATGTACACTTTGTAAATTTTCATGTCTTTCTTAAGTGTCTATAAGTGTTTCATTGGATTCAATTCAGGGGACGTGGAAGCTTTAACTTTTTTTTCTTTAGATATTCGTGTGATTTTTGCAGTGAACTTTGGATTGGCATTCATGGTGCCATCTAGAAATGTAATCTCCTCAACATCCTTTGCACTCATGCAGGGCCATACCATCACATTACAACCTCTATGCTTCACTGTCAGGACTATGCATTCACTGTGGTAGTCATGGCCAGATTCACGGCACATGGGCTGGACCCCATCTGAGCCAAACAAATTTATTTTGGCCTCAGCCTACCAAAGAATGTGTTCCTAACATTCATTGGGGTTCTTTTCATGTGCTTTGGCAAAGTTTCAACTTGACGTTTCATGAGAACGAGCAAACAAGTTTTCTTTTTTTCAAAGTCGTCCATCGAGATGTCCATCATACTGTCTGAGCTGTCACAGAAACTCCAGAGTCAATCAATAACCCCTGTGCTAAGCCTGCAGCACTTTACCGTCTGTTTTCCAGAGCTAGGTTGTGCAAGAAGAAGCACATTGTCAGTGGCGTCATTAGAAGGATGCCACTTCGGCTCCGATTAGTGCTACAGGGCTCATTCTGTATCTTCTGATTACTGATGCAACTGTTCATTGACTGATTTTTAGTTGGATCTTTCCGTTATTCCCATCTTTGTAAAGTCTTAAAATCAGATTATTCAGTTCCTCCGGTAGCTCTTTTCACGTGGAGCCATGATGCGGATAGTTTACTTGAGTGATCAGTTCAAGTCAGTATGTGTCGTTTTGTTAACATGCACCAGTTACTTACCCTGCTGAGTGTTCCAGGTGGGGGAGTCTTCGTGAACTTGTCAGCAGACATAAAGATTGGATCAGAAGGCATTGGCTCAAACTCTTCACTCCCCAGCCAGTCAGGAGGGGTGTGTGCTGTGGTGACCCCTGACCCCTCCTCCAGCACCACCACAGAGTCTACAGCAGGATATAGTAACAACCATGTGGGTTATAGATGGACACAACCGCAAAACAACCTGAAGAACAAACACACTGTAGTATCGTCCTCTGTTAGTTACACAATCAGAGACACAAACATATGAGCAGGTGTGAGATTCTGACAAACAAAGATTTCCACAGCTGTCAGTAGTAATTTTGACATCACTTCACCCACATTCTCTTTAAATTCAAGTTAAATACACAATAAGGGAAACTGATCATTGTAACATGAAATTGAATCATATGCATCCACATTGATCAACAAATTCAAAGGCAGTCAGGCAAACACAGCCATGTGCAAATCATGACCTAGGTGACTCCAACCTACAAACACTGAGATCAGAGACACAGACAGATCAGTGCGGCAGGCAGCATCAATCCGTCACTGGCTCATCTACTCAATTTCCATCAAGACGCATGCATCGGTTTGGTTGGCTTGTAGGTTATCTCAGCCCAAACACATTGCAGCTACTGCAACAGCAGCCCAGACCAAGACCTCCAGCCCTGCATCCCCCAAGCAATACTCTCTACACTCAAAAGGAGAAGAAGAGAAACAAAAACTGCAGCTCAGAAACTGTCTTCATCGCCCTACTGGTCTGCCAGTAAAGCAAGGAAGTGCATGTTATTTAGTTGAGGTCTGGGCTTTCCTGTTTACAACATCAGAGGGACAGAGGTTAAAGGCCGACCTGGCAGTATATTTCAGAAACACAAGAGTTAGAGAAGATGATTAGGACGGAAAAAACAAATCACAAAAGGAGTCAAAACAATAAATCCCGATTTATTAAGTGTCATTGGAAAGGTTGATCCGAGTGCAGGCACGTTTCATCATCACTCGTAGAGGACCCTCCCTCCCGTGTTAATAAAAGACTGAAGAAAAAAGTAGAAATGCTGAAGTTCCTGACTTGCACAATATCTGAGCATAAAAAAAGCAGGTCTTTTGCACAACTGAGTTATCTGTGACAGTTGTGGAGGAGAGGTGAGCAAAACCAACAGGGAAGCTCCTCCACATCGTCTCTCACTTACGATTAAAATAACAGTTTTGGGAAACATGCATATTTGCTGTCTTGTCTTAAGTTTATCAAGAAGACTTATTCCACTCTCATGGGTGTTTGACAAATCTAAAGTTACTTCTGGGGGGGGTTTTACAACCTCACAGTGATGACAACACATCAGAAAGTCAGGTGCAACACACTTATAAAGCCCCAAAATGTTGTTGAACACTTTAGTTTCTTACCTAATATGCTCAACTTTAAAGGCGCTGGTTCAGCTAGTTCTCCTTGTTTCAAGGGAAGCAGACTTAACTTAGCATTGCAAGTCTATGCTAAGTTAAGTCTGCTGGCTTTAGCTTCATAATGAACAAACAGAAATAAGAGTGGTATCTAGCTTCTCATTTAACGGTCATCAAGTGAAAAACCATGTTTCAAGAATTTAACTGGGAACAAAATATTTGAGTCTTTGATCTTTTCTTTTGAATTGTAAATGAGTGATACTTTATGGCTTCCTGTGCCAGAACTTTTTAACTCCCAGAAGAAGGGATATAATGAAAGCCACTTGCAGTTTGTGCTTACAGACCGCTGTATTGTACAAGTGAGAAGAAATATACTACACCAGGAGTTTTCTGGAGGGGGAGGTGTGGGGTCACACATGTGGTGGACGGTACCTGCCCATGAAATGCTCCTGTGCAACCTGCCAGGGGCCGGAGGGCCTGGGGGGGCAGTGCCCAGACCCAGAGACCAGAGAGAGCCGCCCACTGCAGGCGTGATGCCAGAGGACAGGTTGGTGGCACATGAAGCCACATAACACATCGCAGCCAATCACAAACCAGCATCATGGTGAGGATGAAGAAACATGAAAAGAAACCAAATCAGAACAGTGGGAGAAGTCTCAGAGCAAAGAGAAAAGAAAAAAAAAAGTGTTGCAAGAAAGAGTGTAGAAAAAAAAAAAAGATGAGTTGATGAGGAAAAAATTGTGAAGATGAGTAGCTGGAAGAAATGGAGCCGCAGAGCAAGACAGAAAACAAATAAAAACACAGGACACCAGGTATCACTGAAAAGAAGGCTTCTGCAAAACAAGAACATGTGACTCATAAACAAGCACTTGTCAAGGCAGTGATATTTAACAATCACTGACCTGAGCGTATCCAAGGTGGCCTATCGATCAACTTCAGGCTCAAATCAAGATTTTACAGGCAATTGACCATTTAGGTCAGTCCATTAAGGAGCACCAGGAACAGGCAGTCAGGCAGAGGGATGCATTCATGCTTAATACTACGTAAATTACTCAATAATGATTTTCGATTTTGCTGTGCCGGATGTGCTGCTGTGCTTATTTTATTGATAAAACAATGACCTTGCATTTCTGATATCTCTAGCTTTCTCAGACTCTTCAGACTGTCACCCACCAGTGTTGGAGCGCTGCATCAGGTGTGTCTTCCCTCCGATGTTGCTGTGTGTTTGGGTTAGGGGCTCAGAAACAGGCGCCGGTGCAGGTGCAGTTGTGCTGGCGGGAGCGCTCGCCGTCTGAGTTGGAGGCTCCTTCACTCCCTCCATCGCCATCAGGACAGTAGAAAGCTCCTGCAGCGGCATGTTGCCAAGCTCAGAGGAGAAGGGGCTGGGTGGGTTCTCCAAACACATCAGCCAGCTAGTGTTACCTGTAAAGGCAGAGCAACACAAAGAGTGAAGCCTTGATTATGCTCCAATATTGCATCATTTTCAGCAAATAAATCTCACGTGTCCCCAGAATGTGTCATAAATTTTCAGCCCAAAGATGGTTAATTTCACTGTGACTGAATAACCCCTAGTTATAGCTCAGCTCTATATGAGCTGATCAGTGTCTGCAGCTTTAAATGCAGCTGAACTGCTACTGCTGTCCATGCCCCTTTCAGGATGGAGACTCTCTCTGCTTCTGTGTTTGACAGCAAAGACCAAAACAGCGTGACACCACAACCTTCTATCACTTTTAACTTTTTCTCTGAGTGCTCATTTACATAGAACTATTGCCAAATTCACTGTACAGCTCTTGTTTTTAACTCAAGTGTTTGGTGAGTTTCTCAGACAACATTGCGGTTATAAAAATCAATACTGTAGCGGTGCAGCACGGCACTTTGGAAATGGCTATGAAGTGAACTTGCAAACAAATTAATAACTAAGTATGTTTGCAATATTGCTGACCGCTTCACGAAGAATATTGTTGGCCTGTAGATTAATTCATTTCCACCAGGCAATTCTGACATTAGTTCACACCATTATAACAGTATGAAAATCAAAATGCAAAGATTGAATTAGAATTAAAGATAAAAAGTCCTCCACAGTAAACATCAAGTTGCCTCAGAGTTTGAATGCATATGGTGCTAAAGCTGTGAACAGAGACTCCTGTCCTGGCCAGCAAGTTCTGTGACTTCTTTGGTTAAAAAAAAAAAAAACGCACATATATTGGGAATGGGCTTGTTTCTTCTAAACTTGCAGGAACAACAATGATAAACAAAAAGTCTGTTCCCACACTGGTAAAGCAAAAAGGCAAACTACATGTTTACTGTAATGGGTTTCGATTTTTCCTTAGCTTTGAAATCTCTGTATATTGATTTTCATATTCCACTGAAATGTACGGGAAAAAAAGTCCACCCAGGAGGAATAAAATCAATTTTAAAGTAAGCTTCAGAAAGTTACCCAATGTACTGTTTTCTTAGCCAATATGTAGCTACCTAAACAAAATGGACTTAACCACTGTCCTGTCTTGTACTAATAATCCCAAAAACAATAATAAGGAAAATACAGGTCACATAGCCTCTGAACATGAAGCTACAGAGACTCGGCTGTCATACATACCTGATGGTCTCCGTATGAAGATCTCTGCCCAGCCTTGGGTGAGCATCGGGACAAACTCAGCCAGGCTGGGGTTGTCTTTCAGAGGAGGTGGAGCAGACGGGTTGGCAGAGGTGGAGGAGGGAGGACCCAGACTGTCCAGCGTTGGACCGGAGGAGGGAGAGAGTGGAGCAGCTAACTCACCCTCAGAGGGGGACACCAGAGGACTAAGGCTCTGAGCAGGACCGGCACGAAGAGCGTGGCCACCTGGAACATAAGATCAGACAATCAACGTAGAGTCATCATCAAACAGCAAGCTCCTCTGATAATATATTTAGATTTAATTTTTTAAAAAAAAGAGTCATCATCAAACAGCAAGCTCCTCTGATAATATATTTAGATTTCATTTTAAAAAAACAAACAAAAAAAACAAAAAAAACCCACAATGATTGGCTACGTAATAACATGCAATTTACTGTGCAGGAGGAAAGCAGGTGAACCCATTTAGGTACACTGACAAAGAACGACATCATTACAATAGATATTTACATAAAATACAGGCGGCAAGGCATTAGCATCGGATTTTCCCTTTAATGCATAATAAACCAAGATGGAATAAGAACACATTATACCACGTATCAGGTGGAGATGAAGGTAGCAGAAATAATAATATGGCTGTGGGAGAATCAAAGGCTTTAATCCTTTTATTAAAAGCTACCTCATTATTTCTCGGTTCAGGACAGCAGGAGATCTGACATTAAGTGCTACCTGCTGAGCAACAGAGTATTCATTACCTGATATGGAGCGGACCCGTATGCGCGTGGCTCTGCTATGCTGCTGGTTTGACTGTGACTCCAGTTTGGCTGGAGCCTCTTTGGTCATGCGGGTGTGTAGTGATGGATCTGACCTGCAGGACCAGGAGAGTGAAATGATTACAAAGCAGCTAATAACACAAAGTCTGTATTCATACCTGTTAGCTGCTCTGTGTTAACGTACTTTCAGTTAACATCGCCATCTTAGTTTCGCATTGTAGCATTTAAAGACCTGGTCTGGTGCTTTATACCGTGTTAACGTTGTCATATGGTGTTTTTTTTATATGCTACAAAACATATCATCAGCGAAATAAGCGGTTAATGTCAAGGCTGAGCATTTCCACCTTTGAACTGCAGTGTACCCTCAAAAACAGATTCAGACTTGTGGGGCTTCATACAGAGCAAACCTTAAGAATCAGTCCTGTCAGCTTGAAGGGTGGGATTTTCTAATCACTTTAATAATATAACTTTCCCTTGTGTAGCACAGAGTAGTTTTACAGTGTTGAAACAGAGTACTAAATGAGACAGTTGTGTGCAGTGTGGCTGGAGTGGTAGATGAGAAAGAGGCAGGGACTTTACAGATGTACACATTCTAGAAGAAGCAACAGTGTAAAGCTACATCTAAACCATTTAAGGCATGAAGGGATCATTTTCATGGGGAAAAAAAAAATTCAAATGTATTTTTGATACACAGAGAAGAGTTTTTAGGGGTTGAATCAATGCCAGGAGAGGGACTTTAAGATTTGCTAATTAGTACTGAACCTTAATGTCACAAGTTTTGCAGGTATTTTGGTATAATCCAAGGCAGTGAATTATTATGGGGTTTTATTTTTTTTGGAAGATTTTTGGGCATTTCTGCCTTTCTTTCAGCTCAAGAAAAGGGGGGGGGGGGAGAAGTAATGACATGCAGCAAAGGGCTGGAATGGAAACCAGGCTGCTGCAGCAAGGAATCAGCTTTGGTATATAGTGCACGTACACTGAAAAAAATGTGAATTTTGACATGAAAATTATGCCTAAAAAGTGATATCTATTTATCCACAGGGGGACATGAATGTCTGGATGAATTTTCATGGCAATCTATCCAATACATGCCAAAAAAAATACACAAACACAAATGTCAACAGCGACCACTCCACCACTATCAGGGTCAAATCAGTTTTTTTTTTGTATAACTCAATATCAAAATTTTCCTCGAGGGGCTTTACATTCTGAACAGCATGCAACACCCTCTGTCCATAGATGCTTTGTTCGGATAAGGAAAACTTTCCGAAAAACAACTTTTACAGGAAACATATGCAAGAAACCTCAGGAAGAGCAGCTGAGCAGAGATGCCTCTTTCAGGACGGATGAAAGCAACAGATGTTGCTTCTAGAGAAAAGCTGTAGATGGAAACTGAGAAATTATTTTGTCATTGCTTGTGAAAGTGTGCATCACCTGGTCATTTCTCCTCCTCCTCCCAGACGTTCAGCCATGTCCAGACCCAGCAGCGCTTGTGTTCTGACCCCTCCGCTGGTCGTTATGGTAACAAGCTTGTTGCCCACCAACCAGGTCATACTGCGACCTCCTGCCAACAGGAATTCTGCGATGGGAGACCTAAGAGGACAAGCATAGGCCAAAATCTTCACTGAAAAAGATTCTTTTCTCGAACATCACTATGTGACGAACCACCATAAAGTCACACAGATAAAACAAGGCTTTGCCAACCTTTTGGGAAGTGCAGAGAAGTTGGAAAACACATATCGTGCCATCATGTCCAGACACGTCTCTGTGAGCTCCAGGTGGACAGTCTTCAGCCCCTCGTCTGCCTGAGTTACCGCATTTTCATCGGCAGAGCCCAGACTGCAGGTGGTGGTCGAGGTGTGCATCCTGAAGGAGGAAATGGAGAGATTTCTACTAAACAACAGCAAGAGGTGCAGAGAAGCGGGAGGAGGGCACAGTGTCATGACATATTTTAGCATGTAATCAGTGCACACAGAGACATGCAAGCTTTGATATGTACAGGTACAGGATGTGCAGGATGTGATTTTTAAAAAACGCTGCACAAACACACCAATGCTCACATTATTGCAAATATCACATGCAACACACGCATTTATATGCACACATGCATCCACGTGTGTGTATATATGCAAATCCACCACGAGATCCTTACCCTTTTTTAAGCACACAAACAGAGACACATGCTGGGACCTGGTATAAGTGTCTTCATAGGTAGTGGTACCACACTGGTTAAGCTTGTGGGAGTCTGAAGGGATGCGTTTTGTGACATTTTGATGCAGAAAAATCAGCAGGTGGCAGCCACATGTTAAGTCAATGTGTGTGATGTGAGTCAACTGTGTGCTCATATCTCTGTTGAAACATAATCTTATCGGTTTTCACTGTGACGTGAGGACGACATCGCACTAGAACCATTACTGCATGGGCTCTACAGACCTCCTGCCAAGAAGAACTCTGCAATAGGACACACAAACAGGACCACATGCTGGGACATAGTATAAGTGTCCTTATAGATAGTGGTACCATACTGGTTATCTCCCTACACTCCATGTAGGAGTCTGAAGGGATCCGTTTTGTGACACTTTGATGCAGAAAGAGCAGCAGGTAGAGGCCACATGTGAGTCAGTGTGTTTCACTGTGTGCCAAAGTCTCAGCTGAAGCCAAATCTCTTCATTAGTTTTCACTGTAGAGTGAGGAGGACCACAAACAAGAACCATTACTTTATGTGCTCTACAGACAAATCAGATTTAAAGCGCATTTACAGATGGTAACATCAGTCTCAGTCAGCCCCAGAGAGACACTCAAAGTCATGCTCGCTTGCTGCTCAGAAGTAAACACACTCAAAATGAGCAATTTACAGCAACACTTCAGTCCAACTGAGATGTCTCTATTCATTACAGTGGCGAGTATTCCACGTAAATCATGAAGAAACATCCTAAGAAGGAACAAATCTTAAATCTAATTACATAGAACGCATATGACTTGAGTGGATCTATCATAATACACAGTTTTTATCTTGTTTTTTGACTCAGCCCTGCGACTATTCAATATAACTGTATATCCAGCTTTCATAAGGCACTGTAATGGACTGTACTGGCAGGAGCACATCTTGGTTTATTGCCATGCATGCATGTTTTCATATTACTAGTGAAGTGAATATAAAATGCAGCTCAGATATGCTGAAAGAATACGAATTTAACCATGAAAATGCATGCAAACAGATACACTGATAATACTGCTGTGTGCATTTGTTAGTTCTTTTAAATGGAGCAAGAAGTCACTCAGACCAAGTCCCACACTGTGAATCAACAACCATTCCACACATTTTATACTTACCATTCTGTAACTGTCAATGATTCATTTTTCCCTTCAATGTCTAGTGCACACATACTCCAAAAAAAATAAAAAAATTACAAATAACATGACCATGAAATACTCACGACTTAAACTGGGTGTGTTCACTGCTTTGTACTCCCATCCCCCTATTGTGCTTCTTTTCATTGAATCTACTCAAATCGAACTGAAGAAATAAGAATTCAACAATTGGCCTGTTTCTTGCAGATACAGCTGTCCAATCGAGGGACAAAATAAAATGATGTGTTCAAGGCTGTTAAGCAAGTGAAGTCTCTAAGATTGTCACCTTTGAGTCTTAACATTTAAAACATGGTCATGTTGTCTGGGATGGAGTGAGTGCTCACCGGTCAACAGGTTTCACATCTAAGTCACACAAAATCAAGCTTCTGAGAAAAAAAAAAGAAGCAAATTTGCAGCCAATTAGCAGTTGAAGCAGGTTAAACAGATCTAAACTGCAGTTGTTCAGTCCCATTAAGTTCTGTGTTTTACTCTGAAATTAGTAGTTTTACGTTCTAAGCAGTGAGCTTCTGTTGCCATCTGCTGGGCAACACTAGTAAAACAAATTCAATATCAATGGCACTGCAGCCACATCTGACAACTGCAATGTTAGATCACACTTCTGTCAGACACTCAAACAGGTCAGCCAAGCAGAGATAAGCATAAAGGTATGAACACAAGTGAAGCGGAAAGCTTTTGTGTAGATGTGTGTGTGTGTGTGTGTGTGTGTGTGTGGTGACATGAATGATTTTAATCTGTCAATCAAACTGCATTTAAAGTTCACCTCAGCCCAACTAGTCCTAAAATCCCACACTAGGAGATTGCCATGGTCATAGCAGCACAGTGGATGTTTGAGTGGAGCAAAATAATACCAAAAAGTATGTCAAGCAAGCAAACAAGCTGTTGTGTTGCTGTTGTCCCCGTCACTGGCCGAGGAAGCACAAGTGTCCTCCCACCAAGAAGCGGGAGCCAGAGTTGTAGGTTGCAGTTGTTGTCAGGGAAGAATATAAGATCCCACCATTTTAAGTACACATGCTTTCACCAGTCCCTCCTGCCATTCATTTGTTGTTAGGCCAATCAAAACCAGTCAGCAGTACACCCAGCAAAACACAAAAGAAACCAAAAGTCAAACCAAACACAAATTAAAATGAAATAAAAATGAAAGCGTAGTCTGTGTTAGAGCGAAATCAAACAGGAAAACATCAACAGATGTTTTCTGACGTCTTGTACAAACACTGCATGCAAAAGCAAATCATAAAAACAAAATCTAAAAAAGAGCACGAGTATGACCGCAGCCCAAAACAAACCAAAAAAGGCCGACACACAAACCTTCCTCCAGCATGCACCACCCACTCCAGGTGTCCCTGGCAACAAACCACCCCAGCACCCGCCCGACGGACCCGCATGACAATGACCAACCCATGGATCAACCAACCCATGGAGGAAGCAACAAGTGTTTGGGTTGTTATTGTTTTGTTTTGTTTTTTTTTGTTTTGTTACCCAGAAGGCTCTTCTCTAACCTGCGGACCGCATGTTCGGAGACACTGATGCTGCGGGAGCGGAAAGCGTCCATGGCTGAAAGGTCCCTCAGCTCTTTAACTGGAGAGCTGCTGCTATTGGCTACCGCTGCTGCTGCCTTTGCCACTTTTGCCGCCCGCAGACTGGGCGGAGAGGAGCATCCATGGCAAAGATCGAGGGGAACGGGCCCGGGATGGTGTTACGGTGGCCAGTAAGGGCATCGTGACGGTGGCGGTGGTTTGGGAGTGTGGGTAGGAGGGGGCGGAGTGTTGTGTGAAAGTATACCAGGAGACAGCAGGGATCATCGCCCGAACACCAGAGCAACACGAGCAGGCGACCAGGGGGGCAAACGCCACGCAGGGGGGGGGGGATGGGGCAGGGTACACAGGACAGCGCCACAAAGGTCAAAGGGCAGGCGTCACATGAGGAGGGAGGGGCCAGGAGCAATGTAGAAAGGATCCAGGATGACACAACCACCCCCCAAAACCACAACCACAATGCAGCACCCAATCGCAGGAGGCAGCGGAGGAGGAGGGAGGGGGGGTCAAATGAAGAAAAAACAAAACAAGGTGAAAATTAACAGCAGTGAACATCATGAATCAGATTACAGGAGAGCGAAGAAAGAAAGAAAGAAAAAAAAAAGAGGATACAAAATAAAAGGATAAACATCAAATAAACGTAAAACAGACAAGCTACAGCAGAGGGTAAAACAGCTTCTGCTATTCAGAAAAGGAAAATACACACAGAAAGTATTCAGGAGAGCAACAAAATAAACATTATTTCACACAGCAGGTTATAAGTGAAGCCAAGGACTAGTACAGGAGAAGTATAATAGTATGGATGGACTCAGCACAGGCTTTACGTAATAGAAGTTAAAATAACACAAGAAAAACAACTGAAAAAGAAATGCTGGATTAAATCTGAGGGTTGGAGTGCAGCAAGTCTGGACTAAACATAAAGATTAGATACATGTTCAAACAATACACTTGTCAATAGTTTAATAAATAATATATATATATACTGACATTATAACCACTAGTGTTTAATGAGGTTGAAATTTAAAGTGACATGCAGAACTCCAACCCCACAGCGGGCAGTGAGCAGCACAAGGACGATGATACCACAGTATGGAACACTGAAAGTGGGTTGATATGGAGGATCAGTAGAAACTGACATTAATAGAAGGACTATGTATCACTGTGAAGAGAACTGTAATGGGGGGTGTGCTTTGTTACTAGGGAGGCAAAGGTGTTATGAGTGTTGTTTTTTTTTCTTCGGTTTTTTTAATTAACAAGTGAGTGAGGGGACCCGAGTAATTTTAAGAGGACTTGGAGGGGAAAAAAAATTTACTTAACTAACAGTGGGACAGGAGGAGATTTCATATATAGCTACGTTGAATCTCTGAGCAAAAAAAGTTCAAAAATGAAAAGACACACGGGGAAGAAGTGTTATATATTCTTGAGGGAAGTGGTCCCCAACTTTCTACATCCAATGTACCGCCACAAGCCTGTCACATGGACCCCCTTTATGAACACCACATCTCATTTTCAAATTTATTCATTTAAACCTCTTTTAAATGTGATCTCTTAACACTCGATAACATGTAAAAGTGGAAATTGTTAAAAAAATATTTTTTATCCAGTTTAACTGTGAATACTTTCTGTCAGTTTGGTCGGAGCTATTTATTTATTAGTTTTTAAAAGATACATATTTCAGCATCTGATCATTAATTTTCCACAATTTCAACACATTAGCTGGAACTTTTTAATCTTTTAACCATTTCTGGACTACTTTAGCCTTGGATTTATCAATTACACCAGTTAATCAGCCACTACTTTTCCCTAGTACATTTACCAGCTATTTGTTAACAATTCCAATTGTTAACTAGCTAATTAACAGTTAATTAATTAGCTAACTTAGTTAATTAGCTAACAAGTTCATTTGTTTATCTATACTGTATACATATATATATATATATTTCTATATTATTGGATGCTGGATTAATAAATAAAAAATATTCTATTCTATTCAAATAATTCAGCTCTATTTGACTTTTTTTCAGTGGATTAGCCATTTCAATGACAGCTCTCCCCATCCTGGATGCCAAAGCTCCCCAAAAAACAACTGCTCTTGCCACTACTTTGAGGGGACATGGTTGCTGCATCCTGGGCTTAGCTCCACCCAAGACAACTGTGATTGTTCTTAAGAAATAAAAAACAAGCCAGGGTGTTTTTCTTTTTCCTACAGCATTTAACTATTTAGTTACCTTACATCTACACTAAGCCACAGACCTTAGTTCAGTCCCCTCCTTCTCTTTGTCATCGCCTACAGTGTTTTAATGAGTTACTTTGGCCGCCGTTTTGTTACGATGTTAGGCCAATTAAGACGTGGACGACGAACAGACATTCACACCTTGTACAAATGAGAATGACACCTTGCTGAGATAAGCTTCCTTATACCTCTGTGTGAACAGTGTGTATTTGTCTTTGTTTACATGTAATGTTTAGTGAGGTCGTATACAGCGATCAGATGGCGAGAAGTGGCGAAAGTAAGGAAACCCCACAGTCCTTTCCTTGTGACATCGCCATGTATGTACTTTTATAAGATATGAGTTGCGGACACAGTACAGAAACACCTGGATAATATAAGACAGTCAACAAAAACAAAACAATATACTTCAAATAAATTAACATTACATTATACAGGTGTTTATGGTATTTTGTCCACACACTGTGTCATTATTATGAGAAGTGACTTTTGAATAAAAAAATTAAAAGAAATTGTGGTAAAAGAAGAACACGTTTTAAAACATAAAAAGCATAAACAATAAATAAAATGAACTGATGATCACCATGGCAACCTGAGAGGAGTCACTGTAACCATCACGCCACAGTACTAGTCATGCTGAGTCCCCTGTTACCTTGGCAACCCCCAACCCTCTGACACAGCAACATGGCCATTGTGCGATGCTGCCGGTTCGTAGGTCTGCAACTTGCAGCCGAGTGTGAATGTATGCTTTACCTTTTGGGCCTTTCATTGAGGCTGGTGCTTCGGGCACGAAACGGACTTTGCTCGTGGTTGTCATCGAATGGCAGGAGGGCATTGGACCGCAAACCCTGGGGAAAGATAGAAAAGACATGAATGTCGTGATACAGAGTTGCAAGACTGAAATCATTATGCACAACAGGTTCAGACAGAGAGGGTGCGTTTGCACATGGACTGTGGACAAACTCTCAAACCAAGTGTTGGAATTAAAGTTCACTGCGATATTATAACAAACAGTTGTGCTGTTTGCATTCTGTCTATTAAGACACTATTAAGGGACTTTCAAAGAATAGTTTTGATTTTGGGAAATGTGCTCACATTCTCACTGAGTGTTACATTATATCTGTCTAATATGAAGCTACAGTCAGGATATGTTAGCTTAGCTTAGCATAAAGACAGGGTAAAAAGCTAGCTTGGCTCTGTACAAAGCAAAATGTTACATATCATTTGTTTAACCCTCTGCAATTTCTGTTTTGTTTTTTCAGGGTTTTTTATTTTTTTACATTTTTTTCCACTTACATGTACAATACTTTTCCCAGGTAGTGCTAATACTGGGGGGAAAATGGTGGCTCTACATAGAGATATTTTACAATGAATTTTTTAAATGTGTTCCCATACTTGTTTCCTCTCTGCTAAACACCGTCTGCAGTTCAGTCCAGTTGAGGAGAAAAGTCCCTAAATTTTAGAGACCTGACAGAATCTGGTTAGAGGAAATTGTTTATTTTTGGCAAATTTGTAAATGACACATATAGAATATGGTGATTTTAATATAAATATCAAGATTTTAAGCTTCAATTTAGTTGAGATTCCCAACAGAACAGCATTTTTTTTTAAGATAATATGCTACGGGGTTTGAGGTTCAGAGGGTTAATCTGTACAAAAATCAAAGTATGAAATGAAGAAACTTGCAACTTTATGGGAGTTTATGTGCTGTACTGCTTGACTGTGACTTTCAGTAGTCTCTGCTGTTTGTCATTTCTCAACTCTTATCTAGTGAAAACAAGACACCAGGGTCGAGGTTAGCCATTTCTCCATCTTCCAGTCTTTATAAATGAAACTAAGCTAACGGCATGCAGGCTGTAGCTTCATATTTACCAGGTGGTATTAGGGTGACCCAATAGCTGAGTGGTCAGGTCGCAACACTACACAGGTGCAAAAGTCATCAACTTTGACTCCCTAGTTCAAATCCCCACTGTGTCATTTTCCTGCTTTCTTTTTCTGCATATTCACGCTCTGTGGACTGCATCATTTGAATAAAAATGACCCAAAAAATTTGATAATGACTGGAAAACAAAGACTGCATGAGAGAGTTTAGAAAAGTTTCTGTATATATATTTAAATTATTTATTTAGAGTCTTCTAAAATGTGAACTTTTCTTTTATGAGTTTATAAGAAAAAGGACAAGGTGAAAGCACATCAATGACATTGATTTCCATGTAGGAGTTGTGGTTTTGTACTTTCTCTTAGAACTGTATTATTTCTCTTCTTCTCCTTGGGTAGGTAGCCAACAGAAAATTGAGCTGCAAGTCTGAAAGCTGTATTTTTTTGTGTTATACAATGGTGCTGTTATTTTTCATAATAAAAAAACTACATGCCATGAACAGAATCGATCTAGAAGGAAGACAAATCAGCACACACCTTTGTGATGTACTGAACAAAGTCCTTGCGGAAGGGGAGTCTGCAGCGTATGAACCACATGGCGATCACATGGTGGGCCAGGGACACAATGTACTGGTTAAACCTGAGGAAAATGAAAGAAATACACAACTTAGAGTTTGTCTGTGCATCTGAGGATACACATGTTGATGTGTGTGTGTGTGAGCGCTTACTTAGAAGGGTTAGTGTAGGGTAGTGAGATGGCAAATACACTGACATACTGCTCAGCTACAAAGTTGGCATAGAGATGGGGCAGGCGCACCAGAGCTGTGAAATGGGGAAGAAACACATCAAACCAAATTCTGACTGACTGTCCTTGAACATTTGACAATGTAAAAATAAACTGTTGTGAATATAACAAAGATGGTTTTGAGCGAAGCTTTTTAGTACTCACTGGAGAGAAACTCAAGCATTGGTGATGCCATGGCAACAGTAGCAGAGATGTGGGTGAGCTTGACAATAAGAGCGGGGAGGAGCTTGATCATGATATCAGGCATCTCCACCGTGCACATTGTAAGGGCCACCACACACTGCTTGGCACAGCGGTAAATGAGACCAGTCTCGAGGCACTGAACCAGCTCTCTCTGCAGGGGGGAGAGAAAATTAACTAGTGTCATTTCATTTGTATGAGCTTTTTCCATGTATGCGTGTGGACAGCCTGTAAAATTAAAAAACAATAAACCAGCCATTTTGGGAAGTTGTTGCCCAGATGTCTTTTAGTTTCAAACATCAGTTTAGAAAGTAAGTAAACCAATTTGTGAATTTGTAAAGCACCTAATAAATTTGCTGGGGATAGAACAGGTGCTGTGACAATCACTTGTACCTGTCTCGGCTGCTCCAAGTAGTTGTGGTAGGAGGTGATCGCCGTAAGGACAGGAACCACTGCCAGCTGAACGTCTGTGCGGGAAAACCCATCAGGAGTCTTTTTCAAGCGCTCTGAGATCAGACGATCCGTCACCTACACAGACACAAGTGGAAGACATCAACAGTGATGAAATAAGCAACACAAAATGACACTTTCTGCTCAGTTCATGGGTTGTTTTGTGTGCATGTTTTGCTCTACCATGCAGCAGAGTGTAGAGCACAGCTGGTCTAAGCTGCAAGGTGATGTGAGTAGCAGCACTTTGTACTGCAGCATCCATGGCAGCTTTTCGAGAACCAGCTTCAGCACCTTCCAATCCGTCTCCTACAAGAGAAGAATAAACCATGGCTGAAATTTTTAAAGATAGGAGGAATAATTATCTGTGGCATCCTAATAGCCCCACAGTTAAGACATACCACAAACCTGCAACACCCATGATTCGATTCCAGCCACCTGTGTTCCTTGTCATGACCCTCTACCTTTTCTACAGTTTCATATCTAATTCTATGCTGTCCTGAAATGAGTGTCTCTATACATTGTTAATTGATAGAATAACTTGTGTGTACCATCTTGAGGCACTGCAGGAGGACACTAAAGGCAGGAGCATAGGGAAGGTAGGCCGAGCGTATCGAGGCTGCAGAAGCAGGAGGAGCAGCAGGGGGAGCAGGACTTCCGGCAGGAGGAGATGTTGAACCTGCTGGCTTCTTATCACTGACACGCTTCTCTGGCTCCCTGAAACAACAAACAACACAGTGTTATCGTTTTTGATATTACTTTGGCTTATTGTACTTGAGTTGGCAAACACTTGTGCTAAGGCTGATGTTTTTGTCCTCACCCTGTATCACAGTAGCAGTAAGGGCTAAATCTCATGGCTCCATCTTTGTTGGGAACCCCGAGGCGGTGAAGGGAGTCTGCACGCATCATCAGGAAGAAGTCAAACACCTGAAGAGAAAGACAAAGGAGTCAGCAGAGAGATGGCGGCCATGCACAGCAGAAATACAGCAAGATGTAAAGAAGCATGCACAGAAGAAGTGGATCACCCTTACCTGGAGTCTGATAGTGGAAGCGATAGCTAAACAGTTCTTGTTTTTGTAGTGAAGCTGAAGGTGGCTGATAAGCAACTCATAAACACGGCTCGCATGGCTGGCTGGCAGGCTGTAGAGTTTGCTCTGTAGGAGGAGAAAAAGATGGAGGTCTATCATCAGACTCCATGTGCTACCAGACTCACAAAAGTGTTTCAGTGCCATTTTCTTTCAAAGTGTGACCATTTTCAGTAAAAGATTGTTGAGGGTTGAAATGCTTCATTATTTTGTCTCAGAAAAAGTTGAACTGTGGTAATACCTGCACAATACCTACAAAATGCAGACAACAGACTTTGTCTTTGGATAACCTTTACGAACTGTTCGGTGATATCGTCATACCTACCAAGAAACTGTGGATATTGTCGAAGCTATTATAACTTAACTTGGAGTTTTTGTTTTTAAAGTAAAGCAGCTGTAGTTCAATTATTATATCTAGTCCATTGTTAGACTATCATTTGTTCTAGCACTGCTCATATATATATTAAAAAATCAATTAAACGCATCATTTTACAATTGAAGAGCTTTTCTTTCATATACAGAGAAGTGTGAGATTTAATGAAAGCCAAATTACTTTATGTTAACTATCTTGTTAGGAATTTAGCATTCTTGACTGATTATGCTGCTTGGATAACCAAAAATGTCAAAGTGGGTAAAGTAGATTTTCCATTTACAGAAAACTACTAGGGGAAAATAAACAGCTAACTTCAGTGTTAGGTTTAACTAAGGCTATCCAGTAAACTAGCATTCCTTGACATAGCGCTTTGACTTCAGCTGTGTGTTTATACGTCTTGCTATGGCAGACAGTGCAGTAACAATGTTGACCTGAGTGTGTCCTAAAGCACACAGATTACAGGCCAAAGTGCAGAAACTGCAGCCTAGCAGCAAAACAAAGACACAATGCAGCAAACACACAAAGAACAGATACTGCTTTTTGGCTTGGTTCTCTGCTCTGTATAGTAGTTGCTACAAATTTTTAAAAAAAACAAAAAAAAAACATTTTGTCTGACATTACCCACATCTATTAAATTATACTATGTATACACACAACATAAACAAGGTAAAATAAATATCAGCAACACCAAATATGAAATCTCTATTTTATAGGGCTGGAACGTTAGGATAGTTATTGACCTTAGTGCAAGTTTGCATGATTTGTGTGTGTAAATCCTAACTTAAATGAGTAACTTTTGCATAGACATAATTGTTGTGGGATGTTAGTCTGTGCAGTGACTGATAAATCATTTTGGAAATGAAAGTAGGTCTGAATTTTCTGGTTCAAAATTTGGTGATGGCTAAACCACCAAAAAATGGAAGGACCATATTGATGTACCTTGCAGGCTAGCTGCAAGACCACCATGAATGTGTGAAAATTGAAAATACATTTTGGATTCTAAATGCTGGCAGAACAACTTATGGAAATTTGTAAAACTAAAAATATAAGCACCTAAACTTCACATTTTTAACAAACTGTGTCATCTTTTCAGAAATAATTTCAGCAATAATTTTAATGTAACTTTGAATCCAGCTCTAAAATTCTGAATATCTACGTGTGTACCTGAAGGATTTCCAGCAGACCCAGTATAGCAGTTCTGACATCCTCCATCGGAGACTCTGCTGTTGGGTCTCTCTCAGAAATCTCCAGAGGCCCTGAACACACCAGAGAGCGGCTGGCCACCTGGAAAGAGAGCAAACGCTAAAATGATCTCATCTTGCCTGGAATGGAGAGAAATAAATGACTTTGCGAAGGCGACAGTGAGACTTTGTGTGTTTGCATGCATGTGTACCCGTTCAATGATGTCCAGCAGGCTGGTGAAGTGGTGAGTATTGCAGCCCTCAGCAAGGTCCACCAGTAGCTGCGTAGCCTGTTTCCTGACAGCCAGATCCCGGTCTTCAGCGATCCCACTGAGCTGAGGGATCACCACCATTTCAATCAACTCATCCTGGAAAGAGAGGAAATAACAAAACAAAATAATTATTTTTTTGAAGGAATTTTTACAAGTCATGCACCAAAGAAACCTGCACCTAATGAAAGATGACAGTTTTCCAAAAGACAGAAACACTACAGATATACAACAATTATGCAACTCAGCACCACAGTAGCTAGTAGTCCAATATCTGACAAATAAAATATATTCATCATCAGTAAAAGTTACAGCCATGACAACAGTAATGAAACAGAAGCTTTTCAAAGCCCTGTATTTCATCTGGCTGGTAGCCTTGAATTACACAGGATGCAGATGTGCGTGTGTTCATTTGTATAAGCTTACAGACCTCATAGAGTTGTCGGTTCGTACTGAGAACGAAGGACAAGATATGAAGTACTTTGATCCTTATGACACTGCGAGTCTCATTCCTTTCAGAGAGAACAGAGAGGGACAGGAAAGATTAAGACACGGCAGAGATGGGAGGATTACAAGGAAAATACCATAATCTGATATAATACATGAGTGGGTGCACGTTTGTGCATCCTACCTGAAGAATTTCTCCATGAGGCGGTACAGGCTCTGAATCCAGCCGTCTTTAGCTGGCTGGATAGACTGGGCCCTGTATGAGATCAAGGTCAGCACTGATGCATCCTGTCGCACATGAGAAGAGGATTAGAAAAGAAGAAAGGGACTAAATGACAACACATGACAGCTCAGACACTCAAAGGCACTTACAGGTCTCTTGTCAGCACATTTCTCCACCAGACTAAAGAACTTCTCTGTGGAGCCGTGGTAACCGTTCTGCTCGTACAGCTCTTCCACTGTGGTCAACAGCTCATAGACGATGGCTTTCAGCTCAGCACTGCCTATTGTCTGCGACGACATGTGAGGGAGACAACTTGGTCAAACAAGAACTGGCTTTTTTTTTTTTTTTTTTCCACTGTAAGTGTGAATGCACGTGTGCAGTATGTACCTGGATCTGCTGCAGCAGTCGCTCTATGATGCCCAGAAGGATGTCCCATGTGACCACCTGCAGCTCTTTGCCGTACTTCTTGATCAGTCTGGTAATGGAGAGGACGATTTCATAGGACACCACCTCATTGGCACATGACATGGCCTGAGTGAAAGAGGTCACACAGCAACAGTCACTGATTTCGCACATTCACAGTATCACGTACAGTGCTTTTTTCTAAATTCCTTTTATTTTCTCATGTAATTTTTTAATGTCAGTCTGAGCTCTAAGGACAACAGTTACAGTGCGTCCTGCTTGACAGAAAATGTGTGACAATAGAATCAACCGAACCACAAAACAGTTTAGCATACATTTCAGTATGTGAGTGTTATAGCGCAAATGGAAAGAGTGATGTTTGACTGCTAAAAAAAGTAAAAGAGAAAGCTGAACCTTTACTCTGTACTCTGCCAAGCTTATGTTGGTAATATATTAAAGTCATTTTAGTATTGAAATAGATTTAATAGTGAGTGATCCAATGAGATAATACCCTAAACAACTTGAGTTTGTTGGAATACGAGGACTTGCTTCATAACACGATTTGTGTTACCTTGTAGAAAGATGGCAGAACAAGCGTTGGTGTGTTTTTGAGTGCAGGGAGTCTGTGTGCGCCCCACAATGCCATGCCAACAAAGAATACTGCTCCTCTCAGCAATGGAGCATCCTCCATGTAGACCCTTGTGGAGTTCGCAGGTGGTTAGAGAAACAAACATGGATAGAAGATTTTCTCAACAAAAACAGGTGTTCATGAATGTACCATAAGCTCAGAAATGCCGCATACCTCTCCTCCATGATTCGGCACATGGTGTAAATAGCACTGTGGCCGAGGTGGGTCCCCAGCACCTTCCTCATCAGCTGGAGAGGCAGCGAGCGGCACAACAAGGGACAGCAACAGACATCACAACAACAGGCAGGTGTAAATTATGCTCCTTCAAACAAACTTTAAAAAAAAAAAAGGAAAAATGCGTGTGCGTGTGTGTGTGTGTGTACATGTTTGTGGAGTGTTTTCATTCTCACCTTCCAGCAGGATTCACAAAACTCTTTAACATTCACAGTGCGACAAAGCGTGATGATGAAAAACGTGAGCGAGTCTGAAGGCAGGCAGTTGTAACACACCACAGCGTCCAGAACTTGTAGCGCCACCTGGACACAGCAGGTAACACACAGACAGTCACATACTGACATGGCAGCATCGAGGCCTGTAGTCCAGCTTATAACATACAGCAAGAAATCTACCACTTATTTAAGATTATTAGATGAAACAATTATTTCTTTATATGTGCTACTTTGAATAAACTACAAAGATTTTTTGTTACATCTGCTTCTGTATGTTTCAAGAGAAAATCAAAATCAACTACAAAGTTAAATCAGTCATCCATATGGCATCACATACTTACATTAAACTTGATTGTTATACACGTATATGTCAATAAGCTTTGCAAGAAACTTCACGTAGGCATGTTGAGTGTGTTTGCACTAATCATAAAACATGCCATCAGTTTAACATACCTGCAGGCTTCACAAGCAGAAACTTCACTCTGCAATAATGATGCTAGTGCATGAACCAACAATTTACTACTTGCAAATTTTAAAAATGCAGATGAAATAATATTTCTTTCCTCTGTGTTTTTGAAGGCCAGTGTGCTATGGTGCCACGGTGTCTATAAATACACATTAAGCAAAAGTGTGGTGCATAGTGACCATTTGCGCCGACTGCATCCACATCATTTAAACAGAATTAAAGTGTTCATTTTTTGCATCTTTTTGCATCATGTATGTTCTTCCTCAGTGTAAAAAAAAAGACATTTTTCTGGGCACCAAATGGCTTTTCACTAGAAATATTTCACATTTGATAAAACAGCATTTGTCATACCTGCAGGTTCTTATAGGTGGAGTCTATGATTCTGGAGACAGACTGTTGACATTTAGCTGTTTATAATATATTTGTGTAGCAATCATGTGCCAGATGCACGTTCCCTCTCGCTCCCTTTACCCCCTTTATCCTATCTACCTTTCCCTTTACACAAGTACACAAGAACAGGACTTTGCTGTATGGATCAGCCTGAGGCACCTAGTTTTACATTTTCAGAACCACTGCTGTGTACAACTGGAGTTATTTCAGGACACATTCAGAAGTTAGAACAGACAGCCAGCAAACCATAACGAGGTATTCAATTAGACTTGTTGACTCTGCCTTTAATGGCCCGGCTAAGGCTTTGTCACAGGTGAACAACAGCAGCAGTAACTTTTGAAGAGGGATGATGATCAGTTAAGTAAAAACAAATGCCCACCTCGATATCAGTTGAGGAGGTCGTCCTGTTACACAGAAGACAGATTTTCCTGCAGAGACCGCAACAGAATGAGCAAGAAAAAGCATTTTAATGGCATTTCCTAACTAATAGAAAAAATATGTTGTGTGTGTGTGTGTGTGTATCTCTGACTCACTGGACCATGATGGAAACGTTTTGGTCCAGGTAGCAGCTGTTGAATTTTACCAGATTTACTAGAACGTGGAGGAAGTCGGAGGTTAGACCAATGTCCATCCACAGGAGGACAAATCGTGCTGAGAGAGGAAAAAAACAAGCGTTAAAGGAAAATATCACTGGGGATAAAGGAATGTAAAAAAAAGCATCTATGCAGATTTATAATTATGATTGATTTATTATGGAAATTGAAATGCAAAATATACTTGTCTCATAGTGTTTTTTGACTCCTGCAATAACCTAAGTTTGAAACTCTACCAGATTTCTCAGGAAAAATAACTGTTTTATCTATCTTGCGTAAAAAATAAGTTTTCAAATCGACATGTGTGAACTATTAGCGCTCCAAAGAACACTAATATTATAATGTGCCAAAAATGCAGAAGAAATGTTGAGAAACAAACTGCAGCATTACGTAATATCAACACAAAGTTCATGTATAAAAAACGGCACAGTGATCACAAGTTGAAACTAATCAGCTGAGATATGATACAGCCAACTATTAGTCAATGCTTAAAAGCAGATATTTTGTCAGTAAAGTCCTGTTTCATGAAGTGCTTGTTATATTTCTTCGCTTTGAATTTTGATTTTTGGCTTTTGCATTGATGGTTTCAGTTGAAAAACTAACAAAAACTAACTATGCAATTGATATATACTAAGGATTGTGCTGGTGAATGCTTTACCTATGTCCTCCTCCAGGTATGTGATGTCCTTTCCGTTCTCAGTTAAAGCTTTAAACACTTCCAGTCTGTCCGAGAGGTCCTCGTTACATGGTTGGTAGTCTCTGATCACCTTGAAAAAGTAGGCTCTCAGAGGGCCAAGCCGCTCACCCTTCACATAAACATGAAAACTTTATGAGACGACAGGAGCTTTTTAAATTGGTTTCAGTGTGTGTGTGTTGTGAGTTTATACCTGTCCTTGTATAATGGCCCTCAGCAGCTGCAGAACGGCATGTCTGGCCTCTGGTGGCTGCTCTGGAGTCAGCATGTCCTCCACAGCTTTCCACACAGCCTCCACTGCATGCTGAATAACACCAGGGCACAGGTTTCAATAAATACAGAAGAGCGCACATGTTGCTGTTTCACTAAAAATAAAGAAATCCCAGCAGCCAGCAGCCTCACCTCCTCAAATTTTTTAGTTTTGGCAAGATCGCAGATGTGGTTCATCATGCGAACACGGTTGCTCAGACCGCAGTCTGGGTGGAGCTCCTAAAACACATCAAGGGGAAAGGCGGCCATGAGTCAGACTGTGTTAAAAAAGCCTGGTGAATTTTGGTATGTGGGAACATGTACAGATGTTTCACACAGCCTCCTCTGCACACCTTGATGATGTCAGTCGTGATGATAAGCTCGGAGGGTTTAGTGTCGCTCTGTTTGCTCGGCGGACGAGGTGGTCCTAGGCCGAAGATCCCCTTCACCTTGTCCTTGAGACTCTCTTTGCTTGGTTGTTTATTCATGGCCCGGCCTGGAGGGGTGACAGACTACGCAGGCTGGGACTGACGTTGGCCTATAACAGCAACATATACCACTTTTTAGGGTCATCATTTATTTATGTTAGAGGAGATGGTTTCTTTAAATATGTATAAAAATAAATACTTTTCCTTTTCTCTCATAATGTTTGATTTACAAATGAATCTCACAGATCTCTGAGCATATAGGCAAAAAAAGGCAAAATTAGGGTAAAGAGCAAATGTAAGAGACTATGCATCTGCAGAATAGGGTTGAACAAATAATCAAAAATATTGCTGAAATATGGAAAAGTGTATTATCCAGATCATAGCAGTTGCAAAAGATGTTACACAACAAACAATTTTAGATGAAGCACGGTGGTGCTGCAGAGATGCCCCAGCCTTGTTCTGCTGGTTTGATACAGACAGCAGCAAAAATACAGTTTTGTAAATACATATTAGACCACAGTTTTCTGTCTCTTCCTTTGTGGTTCTTGGAGGAGTCATACAGCGTTTAAGGCTGCAATAAACAGTGGTTTTGTTCATTCCAACCGCTTTGTTAAGCACCAAGATGTCAAGCAGTCTTTTTGTCATCTCAGTTCTCTTCTTCTAGGCGCTGCAGTGATAATTTAGTTTGAGGTGTCTGTTGACCTTACAGCTTATCAACAACTGTGACTCAAATAATGTTCTAGGCCATCCAGTGCAAGTTGTTAGTTTTAATACAATGCTAAAAGTCTGTTGTGTAGATTTTGCAAAGAAAACAGGTCAAATAGTAATGTTCACTGCTAAATCTATATAGGAGGGCACTTTAAAAAGTTCTCTGCCTCACTTGAAAACATCACAGGAGACAGAATGTTGTTGCATTGCTTTTCAACATAGTCTCCTTTAACTTCAATGCACCCGTCTCAGAGCTTCACTATCCCATCAGAGAAGAAGGTTGCAAATGGCAACCACACAAGTGGGATTTAAGTTTGGGAAACAAGTCGAAGTAAGATGGTGCAGGTCAGGTGGGTAAGGGGCATGGAGCAACAGTTCAAAGCCACATTTGACTGCTTCTGCCACCTGTGCTGTGTGGATGGACACATTATCCTGGAGCTACAGCTTAAAGCTTTCCTCTCCTTTTTTCCTTGACTGATTCAAACATTTGAGTTTTCGTGGACAGCCGTAAAAGGCTTTATAGTACACAATTAAGCCACAAAATGGGAGTTATACCCCTTGTTCCCATGTGAGGATGAGAACTTTTGAAGTACCGTCGTATATACATGTCTATATATACCAACACACTAGTAAATGGTAGAAAAGAAGTGCAAAAATGACCTAGCTGATTTTTGTGCATGCAGAACTTCTCCCTCAAGTTGTGTCAGTTTATAGCTGCAATAAAAAAATGTCTATTATTGTACAGTAACTCTGTCAGTGTATTTCCTCTGATACATGAATGGGTTAACAAAGTTAGCTGAGGCACTAAACTGCCTTTAAATCTTCACCAACAGGAGTTTATGACATTATGCTCAGCTACAGTGCAGCTATATGCCTCTAGAGGTAAAATCAGAAAATATGGTTTTGTGATTTGGGTGAAGAGACCCTGAGAGATTAGCCAGGGGTGAAGTTCGGAGCCTGTAAATGTGTAAGCCCAGGGGGCAGGTTTAAAGAATTTGCTGTCATGTGGACTTGACAAGAGACAGAGGGGAGGGGAGGTGAGCAGACAGACAACGACTGGTCTGTTTGAGCTCAACAACAACAACCACCACCACCACCACGTCGGTGCAAGGTATCCTCCGAGCAGAGCCAGTCATGTCCCTGAGCAGCATGAACTATTCATTATCAGGAGAAAATACACAATGGCGCTGCTGAATCCCGAGCAACGCTTTACATTTGACTGTCATGGGCTAGCAGCAGCTCTGTGTGGCATTCAAGGTCTGTTAGCCTAAAAAACAACGCCTCCTCCCCCGTCCTCCTCCTCCTCCCCCTCTGCTCTCACCTTGTGGAAGTTGAGTCGCTTTCGGGTTCATTCAGTCGCAGCTGCGTCCCGGATGAAGCCGACCAGAGCCGCCCGCGTCTGTGCATTCATATAAAGTCTGTATTCGCAGCCGAAAGCTTGCTCTCAGTCCTCCACTCCTCAACCGGATGACACACTAATGCTCTGACAGCGGCACTTCCTACAAAAACACGTTTGCCGCGGCCGCTCATGGGAAATGTAGTTCTCGAGCGAGCTAAACACAAAGTATGCTAAACGCCTGTTTGTTAGTCGTCTAGATTTCTGTAATATGACAGAAAAAAGGCAAAACATCAACAAAGAGTAAGCTATCGTTTTGGTCTACTAACAGCTTGGAGGAAAAGTTTGGTTGTTGACTGTATGTGGCATAAATTAGCGAAACGTTTTTAGCCGTTAAGCTAGCAAGCTAGCTAACTTGCTGCTGCTAATGAAGTTAGTTTCTTATTGGGGCTGCACTGCGAGCATGCTGCCTGAGAGTGGAGCTTTAGTTTAACAAGTTAACCCTCTAAAATCCCATGCAATTTCAGTTTTTGCGCCTGTGGGCTCATTTTTCACTGCAATATAGAGTCACACGCCTTTCTGGAAACAGCACAAGTATGGCAAGAAGTCGAGACAACTCTTTTGTGTAGTTTAACAAAGTTATTATACAATAAATCATATACAAGAACTGAAAGTGGATTTTTTTCAGTTATTTATTTCACAAAAATGTATGTACAACATTTTTCCAAGTGTCTACATGTATTACCAATACTGGAAAAATGGTGACTTTAAATATTGTATATATTTTATGGCTTACATTTTTGATTTGTCATCTATATGCTTTCTGTAAACACAGTTTGCAGTTCAGCCAAAGACTTCCAGATTTTTTGTCACACCACTGTTAGTCACAGCTGAGTCATGAACAGCTCCTCAGTTGCACCAAGGAGTCCAGAATTTTTTGTTTTTTACAGAATCTGGTTAATGCCAAAGGTTTATTTTTGGCAAACTGTTAAACTGAAGCATGCAGAATTAAGCGATTTCAAAGAAATACCACAATTTGAAGCTTATTCACAAGTGATTTGTGGAGGAAAGTTGAGAATCAGATTCTGTTTTTGTAGTTTCTGGCTCTGATAAATGTTGTAATTTGGAGATTTTTCAAAGATAACATGCCTGTCAAACCAAGCAGCAGGTTTTTGGGTTCGGAGGATTTAAATTGTTTTAATTTTATCAGAATCTTAATCAGTTTTAATGCCAAGTAGGTTTTTACAAGGAATTTGGGGTAGTGTTGTGATGAATAACAGTAAACAATGAACACTTATGTAGCCAGTATCATCCTAAACAAGACAGATTAAGGCCTTGCAATGAAAAAAAAGCAAATTAGTGAAAGAGGCTGCAAATTATAACCTGGCTGTGAATGTTAGGATTTTCGCAGGACAAAAAGGTGTTTTATTGGAGGATGAAAAAACAGATCAGTGTTGATGGTAATTTAAGGAGCAGCCAGTTTTATAATGTGTAGTATGTATGCAAAATGTGGAGATAAGCAAAAAATGTTTTCTTGACTGGGGTTGAAGAGTTATTATTTTCAAATCAATCAGCAATTGTAAAAGGCTGCAATTTAAGATAGGCAAGGTGTGGTTATTAAATACTGAAACTAACACTGCAATTAAATTTGATTTCATTTGAGCAGATTGAACATTTCAGGGGTTGTTTATACTTGCTGATCAGCGTACACTATGTGGTTCAACTGACGTAAGCCAAGTTTCATTGTTTGATAACCACATGTCATACACTTTGCAGCACGTCAACACTGTTGTGTCAGTGGTTTTACAAATACTGTGTCCATTGTGTGACAGTCACACTTTGTATGGTGCCTCATGTGTTCATGCTCCATCACAAGGTTAAATCTTTTACAACGTCAATGACTGAAGCTGAAGTTTGGCATTAAAAAAGAATCTTGAAAAAAAAAAAAACTGTATTCTGTCCTAAAAATCACAATTAGATTTTTGCTCAAATGTTGAGCTTTTCTTGCACTTTTTTAAAAGCTTAGATTTTAAATACCAATCCACTTGAAACTGGGGTTTAGCCGCAATATTTAACTAACTCAGATGAATTAACATCATAAATCACACTTTAGGGTCTTCACCTTAATATTTAAACTTATGAGGTAGAATCACAATGGCTAACTTATTTCTCTCCTAGAAATTACTTGGGTTCATCCCTTTTACTCTAAATGCGCCATATAAATTAAAGTAGCTTAACATGAATCACTAATGTTTAAACTTCAGTTTAATGACATATATGGATTTTAATGAGTGACTTGGAGCTTCTTCAGCATAATCTCATAATATTGCAGTATTGTTTTGATTATCCGAGCAAAAACTTGAGAAAACTTTCAAAGGTTTATGTCTTTGTAAGTTTTTTGTGTATTTCTGTTACTTAACTTTACTGCTGCCCTCGTGACCAGAAACTACGAAGCAGAAACTGACTTCAGCTCCGGGTCGCTGCTATCCGCCTGTAGCAGCAGTGTTTAGTGTTCTGCAGCCTCATTTAGTCGAATAATGGCTTCTCCCTACTTCATGCACAGCAGGTCTGTTATAACCCGCAGCGGGAACCAGACCGCTGCCTGTTCACCTGCTGCGGCTTCTCTCAGGTCCAAACTCACCCTCAGGCGGAGGAACGTGGACCAGGTTTCCTCTGTGGCGGTGAAGGTGGAGGCGGAGGAAGCGACAGTGTCCGAGCAGAGACCCTCCTCGGCCCCCTTATCCACCGGTGGGTTTATAGCCGACAGATTGCTGCATAGAAATGTGTGGAAATAAATGAACGGTTCTTCATTTAACGAGTTTCTAAAAGGCTGCACTGCGCCTGCGCAAAAAGCTGGAGAAGTTTGTTTTGTTTATTCATTCTGACGATGGTAATGTTCGCTTCAATTAAGGAGCTAATTAAGGGAAACTTAACTTACAGCGAAGTTTTGTTTGTTTTTTTTAAACCCACATTTTAATGGTGTAAAATGATGTACAACTGTTAGGCATTTGGAGTTTATCTTTAACGGTGTCTGACAGTCACTTTTTAATGTGTGGGACCTTTATTTTAATCATAAAAATGCAACAACAACAAAAGAATTTGAGATTTTACGGCTTTAGTTAGATGTAGACCACATGAAACTGGTCTAGGATTTATGTTACATACCTTTAAACCTTCGTAAGCCCGAGCAGTTTCTAGGAGTGTTGTTTCAATAAATTTTTTTTTTTTTATTCATCTATTTATCTACTTATTTATTTATTGTATGGCACCGTTATAATGCCCTAAATCTCTAAAAAAAAAAAAAAAAAAAAAAAAAAATCATCAAAGAAAAAACAAAACGAAAGTTGAATTTCATTGATTTATTTTACTTAAATTAAAATAATAATCTGGAATCAAAAGTGGCTCCAGGTGTAAACAATACTGGGGGGAGAAATGGTGTCTCAACATACTATACATAGTTTACTACTAACTTTGTTGCTTTCAATAAACTCAGCCTGCAGTTCAGCTGAAAATTCCCAGAATTTTCTTCCCGTTTCTGTTGGTCATACCTGAGTCAGTCATGGAATCACAATTGCAACAAGAAGTGCAGAATTTTGTATTTTTTCTAAACAGATGCTGTTTAGTGTAAATGTTTGTCTTTGGTCATTTTTTTAAATAAGACGTATAATAAAGTGATTTTGACAAAACATCAGAATTTTAAGCTTAGATTTGTTTAATTTTCTAGATGTAACATACAACGTCACATATAAGTAGTTCAAGGACTAATGGAAAGTTAAAAATCTGACAATTTTTCAGTTTTTACAGTTGATAAATGGTGGTCCCTTGTAAAAGAGATGTCAATCTCAACGGGACTCACCTGGTTAAATAAAGGTTAAATAAAAATAAAATAAATAAAATAATTTCTTTTGCAATTTCTTAATAATACTGCATCTTTCAAACCAGCATTCAGAATATTTACAACAGCTGTAATATAAATGAGATGTTTAAAAATCACTAATTGCCAGCACAAGAATAAGGTTTACATTTCCATACACTTCTTTCTAGGCAGTATATTTTCTTTTGATTGCAGACTCACTGTACTGCCATGCCTCTTCTCATTCAGGTAGTTGTCATGAACTCCTCCACCAGGCCACAGTGCAGCCAAAAACAGAACCAGAAGCTTCAGCACAGCATCCACACAGTCGCAGGAGGAGGCAGATAAAGGTGGAATATGACCGGGATGATGGCGTGAAGACGGAGCACTGGGAACCCGCCGACTGGAAGAAACAGTTGGGATTCATTCGTGAGATGAGGAGCAGCCGAGATGCACCTGTAGATAAGATGGGAGCAGAGAAATGCTACGACACTGACGCCCCTGGACATGTATGAGAGGGGAAGATTTCTTTTCTTACAGTCTGCGTAATTCAAGACATTGAATTAATCTGTCCGTGTTTTCCACAGGTGAGACGTTTCCAGGTGCTGGTGTCTCTCATGCTGTCCAGTCAGACGAAGGACCAGGTGACAGCAGCAGCAATGCAGAAGCTCCGAGTACACGGCTGCACTGTGGACAATATACTCGCTACTGATGATGAAAAGCTGGGAAAACTCATCTATCCTGTGGGATTCTGGAGGGTAATACAGTCATACATCTATTTGTCTCTTTATGTGGTTCATCACTTCAGTTTAGTGAATGTAAGTGAACCTGATTTCACTCTTCTGCAGAACAAGGTGAAGTATCTGAAGCTGACGTCAGCCATGCTGCAGAAGGAGTTTGGTGGAGACATCCCCAACAGTGTGGAGGGGCTGGTCCGCCTGCCGGGAGTTGGACCCAAAATGGCTCATCTGGCCATGGACATCGCCTGGGACCAAGTGTCCGGCATTGGTAGGAACTAAAGTCTGAAGCAAGCACAGACGCTTTTTAAATTAAATATGTCTAAAATATCAGCATGGATTGACCCTCTAGACCCCAAAACCTGTTGACAGGTTTGAAAAGCATGATTTCTTTTTTAAAAAGTGGGGAAAATAATATCACTTATCAGCACTAGAAACTGTAAATACAGAAGGAATTTTAAACTTTCAGACAGCCATTGAACTAATCATTTATCATGTGTTGTTTCCTCACAATGTTTGACTAAAACTGAGCTTAAAATCATGATAATTTAGCAAAATCACTTTGTACCGTATGTGATTTTTGGAACAACAATATACTGTGTCTAGTCACCAGATTCTGTAAAAACAAAAAATCCTGTACTTGGCAGTGCAACTACAAAGCTATGACTGACTCGACTACAATCTACAGTCACGTTACAAAAATGCAGGGACTTTTTGGCTAAACTGGGCTGAGCTGCAGGCTGTGTTTAGACAGAGTAGATAGAGGACAAGTATGGAAACAAATCAAATATGCAAGCAGTGAAATAGCTATAGTATGTAGAGTTGCCATGTTTCCCCATATTGATAACACCTGTAGCCACTTTATTGTTGTTGTTTTTTTTAAATCAGAGAACTACAACTTTAGTTTTTTCTTTTTTTATAAGGATTTATAGCATTCTACTTGTGCAACACTGCTCAATAGATATTTCTGAGGTTCTCTTTACTTCTAGTCCTGGTTGTGCTGTTTCCATAGAGGCTGTAACTAGGTCATATTTGGCAGCTTGGCCTCAAAAGTGACTTAAATAATGAGTTTGTATCAAAACTGTTGCTTATTCCTTTCATATTTGTATACTAATTGATTAGGTCACTGATTGTTTCAGCTCTATTTGCATTAAAAGAAACTTTTACTTTGTACCTTGCACTGTGGGAGATAGCGTTGATGTATGCTGATATGTATTTGAATCTGATGTAGCTGCAGAATAGGAAAAGTATAGATTATAATACAGTGTATGCATTACAAATTGAACCCTCCAACGTAATTATACAGTTGTATCAATACAGCTTAAAAATGGAGCATCTTTACAAAGTTAGGATCTGTATTTTTAAACTGCATTTGTGTGTCTAGTTAACCGCTAGCTGAGTAATATTGTGAGGACTCTCGCTGCATGTGCTCATTTGCGTTGATGACTTTCTCCAGGTGTGGACACACATGTGCATCGTATCTCTAACAGGCTGGGATGGCTCAGGAAGCCGACCAAGAACCCAGAGGAGACACGCAAAGCCCTGGAGGAATGGTTACCCAGGTAACAGCAGAAACATTATTCATGGCCAACAAATCTATAAAGACCAAAGTCACCAAGTTAGACACACACAGTACATCACTGACTCTGGGGATTCACCCTCTGAACCCAAAGCAGTTTAGGCGCTTTTTTTTTTCTCCTGTTGCAATCAGAGCTGAAAGGAATGTTGGGCTTAACTTTCCCCAGGTGACCAGAAACACGACCGGTTATGTTGCTCTGTGGCTGCTGCATGTCCACATAGACAACTGTATGATAATATATATGCTGTAGCTACTTTAACACATGAAAAAATGCCAGTTTTGTTTGTTTCACTGACCCCAAAGCGGAGAAAAAAAAAATCAATTAATGCATTTTTAAAGTCACCAACTGGTGTTCCTTTGACGCTTTGTTGCAGGGAGCTGTGGAGTGAGATCAACTGGCTGCTGGTGGGTTTTGGACAGCAGCTTTGTCTGCCAGTCAGCCCTCTTTGCTCCGTGTGTCTGAACCAGCACAGCTGTCCGTCTGCCCACAAGTGCTCCCCTGCAAAGAGGCCGAAAGCCGGATCACCACGCTCTCCAAGTCCAACCTCGTCCTTTAAAATAAAAACTGAACCTGGACAGGCTGTTAAAGATGAGATGATAAATAAGGAGTTGCCTGTTTCTCCTCGCGCACAAAGAAGGAGGCTACAGAACAAGGCTGACTCTTGATTTTTGTCCGAGCTGTGAGCAGAATGTGAAGACAGACAGTTCATGTTAAAACACACTGAAACAGGGATATAAGCTAAACGTCAGTGGGATTCAAGGTGTTTGTAGTTACTTTCAGCTCCTCTCTTTGTTTGACACTGTAAAAACCTTATCTGTAAAAAAAATAATAATAATAAAAAATATTTCATATGAGATTAAATATTTTTCTACTGTTACTGTTTTTTGTTTGTTTTTTTACTAAATAAAAAATGTATGTACTGAAACTGAGTGTAAAAGTCATATTTTTTTAAGTTGCCAATTCAATTTCATTGCATCAGCAAGAAAAAAACACTTTGTTAGGCTTATATGTAGATATTAGCACTTTCATTTACATAAATATATACACAGCATAGACATACACTAAAATACAGCAAGTAATCTCAGCATCCTGTTCATAGAAGCTGAATGTATTTATCACATCTTCCTCTACACTGTGAAATACAAAAAATAAAATAAAAATCTGAATCTTAAAGTTAACAGTGTTGACTAAGAATTTTAAAAAGTTGGATATAAACATATTAAAGACAGATTATTCAGAAAATGGTCTAAAAAAACAACTAGTTGTCTTCTCAGCCAGCCTCTTCACATTATGTTTAGAGTTGAAACATCCCTGACAAAAGCAAAGTGCTGCTTCACTTTCATGCAAATGTCCGATTACTCAGCAGCACTGCTTAAAGAACACACTCCCAAACATCTGAAAACAATAATCAGGAGCCCATATAAACAGTGGAACTGGTTTTGCCTCCTGTAATTATTCCTCCTGTCAATGCGGGTCATTTAACCATTAAATATAATTCAGCGTAAGTAATAGGGAACAAACTTTACAGTCATTGCTCTTTGCTAAAAATAAACGTGTCCCTCTTTTATGAAATTTATTTTTAAAAATGACACTTTTGACATTCATTACTATGCAGAAATCATTCTCGTTAACTATAACACTAATCCCATAAAGTAACAGGTATGTTAGAGCAAAATGTGCACAGCTGTAGTTTACCGTTTACTGTTATTTGTGAAGATTTAACAAAAGAACAAAACAAAAAATACCACTTGTAAAACTATAGCTTTTGAGGTGGTTGTGATTTGTAGGTTTGGCTGGTTTTGTTTGTTTATTTGTTTGTTTGTTTGTTTGTTGACTCATACCTTTTTCCTGTAATTTAACTCGTCATCTGTAATCTGTAAATCAACAGTTACATTTGTATTTACTTTTCATAAGCCCTTTTTTTTTCTTTACAATATTGGCAAATATCTCTATATTTTTAATAAAGGTATTTTTGCTGATTTAAATATGTTATTTTTTTAATGTGTAAAATTCTAATCAAAAGTTGTAACAAACAAATTATCATTTGTAAAAATACAGATCTTTTTTAATGTGGACATTATTTACAGTATTGGCCTGTTTTCTGGTTAACATATAACTTGATATTTCTGTGTTTTACTGGTTGTTATCTGTTATTTAATCTGGTGTCCACGTGCGTCCACATCACAGTTTGGGTTTATTGTACAAAATATCTTGTTTGCATCTATTGTTACGGTTTTTAAATTAAAAAAAATTCTAGATTTTTATTGACAGGAGTAGATTATGAATATTTTGTGGGACAGAGGACGCATTGATGTTGATTGAAATGACAATACAAATTACTATTGAAAGTAAAGGGGTTTTTTTTGCAGCTTCAAACATTTCTGGAATGTTTTTTGTTTGTTTGTTTGTTTTTACATTTTCCACTACTTAATCTAAATTCATGCTTAAGGCCACATCTATAGAAGATTTCTGTCAGAAGTCACGTAAAGTGCAAAAATCCAGCAGTAGGACAGCCAAACTTTTTTTAATATCTCTGCATCTCTACTTTGAATATCAACACACACCTTTAGCCTCTGCTGTCCTGAATTAACCCACTTCAGTGACTCACTTGTAAAGAGACAAATTGCTCCACACCTGCTACCACAACACTCCAGGGAAGCTTATATTTCATACAACATTAAATCCCCTTTTACACAACCGCCCTTTTATTGATCTCCAGTGCAGATATAGAGGTATAGCACGGATAAGGAAGATTTCCTTTCTCAGGTCACAGTCAGGTTTCCACTTCACCGCCTGGAGCGAGTTCCTGCCTCTATGCTGCAAAATTGGCTTTACTGTTATGTGCTTGTTGAACGCACTTCAAACGCACCGGGCTGCCCTCTGTGAACGGATTCCTTTGATTAAACCCATCGTGATTCTCCACAGTAACTCTGAAACGACATATTCTCCTTTCAGCGTAAGTTTCTGCTCGCGGCGGCGCTGCGTCGTGGGGCGCGCTGAGGCGGACGGTGGCAGCTGTTGTTGACGCCTCTTCACTCTCACCGGGTCGGACAGGAGGACACACACCCTGCTGACGAGGAGAATTAAGTGTTACGTGCGAGGAACAGCTTTCTAATCTCTGATCTCTTGGATTATTCCTCTGATGGACGGGACTTAGCCCCTGTCTGTGGTTTTTGAACTCTACTTTACGCACACTGCGCACCGCTTTTTACGCGCTCATATCTGCGCGCCTGGAACCTGGCGATGGATTAATTCCTCATTAGTTTTAGCACAGTTTTTTTCGACAAGTGCTCTCGGGACAATTGTGGATTAATAAGGGACTCGCATGATGCTGAATGATGATGATCTTTCGATCACTGAAGCGCGCAGCCGTACGTTGGATTAAGAGCCAGAGACTTTCCACAGCTCTTGGACCGAGCACCTGTTTACTCTCCTGAGACACTCTGACCTGTTTTTCCCCCTTTATTGACGCGCTGGGATGGAGAGCGACCTGAGACCGAGGCTCTGTTTTCTGACCAAAGGAGAGCGAGGTTATGGGTTTCACCTGCACGGGGAGCGGAATAAAGGAGGACAGTTTATCCGCAAAGTGGAGCTCGGCTCCTCGGCTGACCTGGCCGGCCTGCGGCCAGGAGACCGGGTGGTGGAAGTGAACGGGGAGAATGTGGAGAACGAAACTCATCATCAAGTGAGTGGTGGCCCAGTGAATAACTTCTTTTTTTAGATGACAAAAAAGTGCGTGCGAGGTAAAGACATGCCAGGAGAGGCGCATAAACTCTCACAGGTACAAACAATGAGTTCTATACCTGTTAGACCACTTTTCTCTTGCCTCAGGAGAAGGAGGAGGGGGCTACTAAATGGGTCAGTGTGTAATGGGAATCACTGGGTGTCTTTGTCATCAGATAAAAGTACACTTTACAGGGCAGTTCCAAGTAAACAACTTTCACAAAATTAGTCCTGAGCCTCCTCAGTGTCACTGATTCCTCCTCTGTGCAGGTGGTGAATCGTATCCGTGAGGTTCCCCATCGCACCAGGCTGCTGGTGGTGGACAGAGAGACAGACGACCTTCTCCGTAGCCGTGGCCTGGCCTGCACAGAGGACCTGGCCATGGAGATGGGAACCCTCTCCCCACGGCCCTCGCCCAGACCCACGCCGTCCACCTCTCCCATACCCAGAGAGAACTCGCCTCTGCAACCCAAACCCAGCCACACACACGCATTTCAATTTCCTACTGCAGAGTCACCCACTCACATGATCACACAAGGCAAAGTCAAGAGATCCTCAGTGACATCAAGCACGACAACAGACGCAGAGGTAAGACCAGACAGCTCTCCTCTGTGGTCGTATTTGCACTCAAGAGTTTTAAAAAATTCACAGGGCTGCAGAGTTTTTATCGGACGGGTCCAATGAAAAGGGAGGAAGAGTCTAAATTCTGTAGGTGCATTGGTTAGTTGGTCACAGTGAATGTTGCAATGTGTTACTGTGTTAAGAGTTTGTGTTACACTCTCCTACCTGATGTCTGTCCAACGCTAATCTGGACTTGGCCAGCCTGCCGTCTGGAAACAGTCCCACCGTAGTGCTTAAACAAACAGTCTGGTGACTTCTCTTAACAGGTGGATGGAAGCTTCTAGTTTTAAACACAAACCTCAGGTGCACTGAGGAGGAGAGACACAAGTGGAGGGAAAAGGAAACAATGATGTAAAGCCACAGAGGTGGTTTGAGAAAACATCCAAATCAAGGCACTTGTGTAGAGTAGGAAGTGCTGGAAAGGAGGCAGGTTGTATGTGCACAGGTTTGCATGTACAACTGGCCTCTTCCAGTCAAAATCGAGCTATGAAGTCCACCACAGCGCATGCAAGCTGAAAAAAGAATAACTGTAAATAACAGCAGGTAATTGTTTCTGTGCTCTCCTCCTCTATGATGCATCAGTAAGTTTTATTGTCCTATTTTTTTCCCATCATTCAAACATCTGCTTAACAATGATGAGAGCCCCATTATGTCCTCCCTTTATAGCCACCGTTTCCTCTGAGAGGTGCATGTTGTATTTCAAATAGTGTCTCTTTGTGCAAATCGAGTCACCACCTCACATTGAACTGTCGGGTTGTTCCCACCTGAATGAAGATCAGAAGCTCTGCTCTGCTCACCTGACCGTGCTTCCTTCCATGACACACAGAACTGCAGGGATGGTTTAGTCACGCTGAATGATCCGTTTGGAAAGACAGTGTGATGTTGTGTGCATCAGACGGAGGTCTAAACCATAAACGACCTACACCTGGACAACAAAGCTATACTGTCACAAATCATAAAAAAGAAGAAAAAAAAAGTTTCTTTGATTATTTAATTTACAAAAATTAAAATAAAAAACTGCAATCAACATGTGAAACATTTCTCAAGTGCACATAGGTGTTTCCAATACTGGGGGAAATGTGGCTTTATATACCATAGATATTTTACTGCTTACATTTTAATTTGTATGCTTATTCATCTTCTCTGCTCTGTGTAAACACTTCCAGCGGTTCATCCCAGTTCAGCTGAAAAGTCCCAGAATTTTTGCCACATGTCTGTTGGTTGCAGATGAGTGGCTTCTTAGTTGCTCTTTGAGACGCAGTATAAACAATCTGTAAATAATTTTGGGGTAAACATTTAAATGAAACCAGTTGAATAGAGTGATTTTGCTGAAATATCCCAATTTTAATACTTAGATTTGGTTATTTTTCCTGAAAAGTACATCAGGGCAGCTGTGGCTCAGGTGGTAGAGCGGTTGTCCTCTGATCACAAGGTTGGCGGTTTGATCCCCGGCTCCTTCACATTCTAAGTGTTTTTGGGCAAGATACTGAACCCGATGAAAGGCAAGCGGCTTGCGTGGCAGCTCTGTCGCCATTGGTGTATGAATGTGTATGTGAATGGGTGAATAAGAAAACATTGTAAAGCGCTTTGAGTACCACCAAGCTAGAAAAGCTATGTAAGTGCAGACCATTTATATCATAAATTAATCGGCAATTTTGGCAATTTTTTAAAAAAGATAACAGCTTTCTTTGGGTTCAGTGGGTTAATGTGAGGAGTTACAAAAACTGTCAAAAGTGAAAGTTTTTTGGATCGTCTCCTTTAAGGCACTGTTGTGAAGAGGGACTGCATCTGATCGCCCATAATAAGTACAGATTTAATCACTCATGTAGTCTGCGAGACTTTCACTAAAGTAGGTTTTACAAATCGGGATTAATCAGATTTTAATATAAACATAGTGCGTGATTAAATTCAACACAAAGTGATGTTATCTCCAACTGTTAGACTCTGGACATCTCTGGAACATACAGCCCAAAGAAAGGGTCCGTTTTAACCTACCAATATTCTTTAACATGCAATAAAACCTTTGTTAATGTGCACGAAATAAAACCATTCATATATTTCTGAGTCAGCATGATGCGGGAAAATTTCCACAAGTGACACGAGACATCGCGGTGACGTCTTAATGTCAGACTGGCTGCAGGAATAAGTGGGAACTGCCCGTCAATAGATTGGACTCATTGTTTGGGCTCCAAACAAAAATCCTTGAGACCGGCGGCTCACGTCAAACTGCCACCTGTTTAGCTGAAGGCAGGGTAAATAGAGGCTGCCCCCTGGCTGGCCGTCACGGCTGTTTTTCCCAGTAAAATATTCAGATAAAACAACATGAAGTGCCATAAGATCAGATCAGGCGCAGTGCAACCTTACATAACCACCAACAGCAGCTCCAACTGGAAGTTACCAAAACTATCCACAAGAATGACACAATACTGGGCAGGTGTCTGTTTCTGCTTAGACTCAGCTAGAATTTTTCTGTTCTAAAACATTCTGAGAAGGTTCCACAAGGTTCAAGTAATGTTTTCAGCAGGACTGTTTTTCTTTTAGTTTCCAGAACAGTCTTCTTAAAGATCTCAAAACATTCTCTAAAGACATCCTAAAAACGTTTGGTGATAACGCTGTGAGGCCATTACAACCCAACATTCTTTAAACTATTTCCAAATGTTCTGTAATATACTAAGTATTGTTTTACCTCAACAACATCCCCAAAACATCCCGAGAATACTGCAGGCAAAGTCTTCAGTCTTAGTTCATATATCACATTATAGGACCTTTAAAAAAAAAAAGTTCTGTCATCTGAGGCCCCTAAAAAATCTTGAAAACATTTTTTTATTGTTGGTTTAAGAACATTCTTCCATCATTATCATGCAACTTAATCTGATGCATCTTCAAGTGTGGCAGTCAAAACTAATCAACCGTTTACCCCATAGGAGCTCTATCTTAAATGATAAAGATTCCTAAAGTGTTCTTTGAACATCAGCTCTTTAAAACATCATTTGTAGGTCATGTTAACAGTTAACAGTGTTGTGGGAACGTTCATTGCTAGCTGGGAAGTAACACATTAGACCAGACCATTAGGTATGGTAACCTCTTTTTAACAACATTTTTGCTGTTATAAAGTCCTTTTAAGGATACAGAGTTAGCATTGATACATCTGACAAAATAAAGTGCTTTGATATATCTTTTCTCTGCGCTACAGTAAGTTTGCCTGAAGAACAAATCTTTTTAGTAACTAGTGACTGACTGTGAAACTGATACAGCACTTGTCTGACATTCATTTAAGACTTTTTCTCACCTACTAAATTGATTGAAGTCCCTGTGTGGTCATTGATTAAAACCCTAAAACGTCATCTCTTTGTATCACAATTACACATTCCATTTTTTTAATGAAATGTATGTCTTCATGACCTAAACTGGCCTTGATGTAACTCTACACAGTTGCTTTCTCTCAAATGTGCAGATCTTTGACGTCCCTGCTTTTTTCTTCACCCACCTATCCTCACTCCCTGCAGCTCCAACACACCAGCTCATCTACAACTTTGCTCAAACACTGTAGAGTGCCTCTAAACTGCACAATAGTAAGTTGTAAAACTGGCGTAATTCAGCCATACATGTTAAAACTGGAAACCAGTTCTGAAGAAGTGACAGAGAACGTCCTACCAGTTGACAGAACTGGTTCTGTAGGTTTGTTAGGTATGAAACCTCACAAGTCGGAATCTCTGTTTTTGAGATCGTCATATAAACACTGCAGCTCCAAACCACAAATGCGTTGACTGGTTGTTTCAGCCATACTGTCTGTGTCTTCCAGTATACAAAGAACATCAAATGACCTCAAAACCCAAAGTCTGTTGGCAAATTTGAAAGGCCTGTTATAATTTTAAGAAATTCCAAATGACAGCAATTATCAGAACTAGAAACTGTGAATACGAAAAGATTTTCTACTATCTGACAGTCCTTGAGGAAATCTGTGATCTGTGATGTGCTGTTCTGTTGGGAGAATGATCCGGATCAAAGCTTAAAATCATGAATCATATTTCATCAAAAATCCCTTTATGCTACATCTCTGTGCACCTGATTCTTTAAAAAAAACAAAGTTTGCGCTCCTCATCACAACAGAAGTGCCACGACTGACTCAGTCACATGACAAAAATCCAGTGACTTTTCGTCTGAACTGCATGCTGTGTTTTCGCAGAGCGGAGAGGAGACAAGTATGGGAACAAATTAGAGTGTTTTAGAAAAAATAAAACATACAAGAGCAACAAAACAAATGTGCCATTATTCAAAGATAGTTTACAGTTGTCAGTGAGTTTGTGGAAGATGCATTTAGCATGGTGAAATATCTCAAAGCAGTAAAAATGTTAATAGTAAAGTATCTGTAGTATGTAGAGTCACCATTTTTTCCCCCCCCAGTATTGATAAAACTTGTGAGTACTTGGAAAAAAAATTACATATTGATTCCATTTTTTTTCCCCCAATTTTTGCAAAACAAATAATACAAAATATGACAGAAACAACCAAACAAAAAAAGCCCAGAAACAGCTTAGAGTTCAAAGGTTAACAAAATAAACAAAACCAGATTTTTCATAGAAAGGGGTCTTAAAAATAAACTTATCATATATAACATGACAACACTATTTTTAGGAGGTGCTTTGTATGTGAGTGATTATTTATGGCCGGTAATTCCGATTAAAGAACCATTACAGCAAATTAATCTCAGCCGAAGGTCCTGTGACTTTCACGATAAGCCGACAAAAGACACACAGTCTCCCTGTCATCCCTCCAGCTCGCTGCCATTCAGTTTCACGACTGACATTCACTTCACTGTACACGTAAATACAGACGTGATTTCATTGTTGCATGACGTTATTATGGCAGCAGATGCCCACACGCAGCAGGCTTACGCAAACACAGGGCTGGCTGCCATCGCTGCTTCCGCCACACCTTCCACTTCCACTCATCTTGCTGAATAAGATTTCCTCAAGTTTATGACAACAACAAAACAAAGCACGAATCTCTGCATTTCAACTCATATAGTAAGCTACGCATATTTATCTGCGTTGATTATTCAGCTACCTCATTAGTGTATAAAATGTCAGATTATTGTGAAAATTCTTGATGTACTTTCCCAGAGCCTGAGAAATCATCTTCAGATCACAGTCCAAAATCCAAAGATCTTGGATTTATAATCATATAAACCAAAGAAAAGCAGCAAAACCTCACACTGAGGAAACTGGCATCAGTAAATGTTGGTCATTCTTGCTTGAAAATGGCTTCAAAGACCAACTGATTACTAAAATTGCAGTTAATTAATCACTGATTTGAGTAACATGATTAGAAGAAATATTCCATGTGTAGAAAAAGCTCTGGAGGTCCTCAAATAGATCAGCTTAGATATTTCCAGGTCAGCGTGGTGTGCAGCCAGTGTGTGTCAATTAATTTGGGCCGACATGACAAATATAGCAAACAGGCCAAGCACATAAACAGAGGTTCTCTAAAGCCAGTGTCACCATGGCGATCTGTCACTTCCACGACTCCGGCTCGAACTCCGGCTCACGGACGGGGGATGAACTCTGCCACGCTGATTGATTCATACGCATTCACGACCTCGGGGAGACTCTCTGGTTCGTGTCTCACATCCAGTGTGCTGTTGATGAAGCAGAAAGGACACAGAGATCTGTCACAAAGCCCTCAGGTCGCCTTAACCGCGGAGGTGCAGTCACAGCTGTGTTGCCACACAGTCAGCACTAAAGTTATCCTCAGGATGCAGCCTGCATAAGCCAAGCAGAGCTGTAGCAATTTATCGATTAGTAGTCACCTATTACACTAACTGGCAACTATTTTGATAATAATAAATGAACCCTCTGAAGTTCAAGCAGTTTCATTTTTGCTCCCGTCACATTTTCACTCAATGTGAGCTCATGTTTTTACTGCAACATAAAGTCATGTGCCTCTATGGAAACAGCACAACCAAGACTAAGAGTAGAGGGAACTGAAAAGTGTCTTCTGTGCAGTGTAACACAGTTGCAATGTCATACAGTCGTCCTCAAATGTATTCATACCCTCCTATTAAAGAAGGAAAAAACAGCTGTCACTGAAATAAGATGACATTGACAAAAGTAATAATAAATAAAAATTTTATAAAAATCATGACATTGCTTTTGAATTGTGGTTCAACAGAAATAATTTAAAAAAAAACAAGCATGATGGGACCCATAAACTAATATTTTGTTGAACAATCCTTTGAGCCAATCACTGCCATCAAGTGTTTTCTGTAACTCTCAGTCAGACTTCTGCACCTGTTGACAGGTGTTTTGATTTTGGTCCACTGCTCATCAGCAAAGTGCTCTACTTTGTGTGGGACAGTTTTGTTTTTGTTTTTTGTAATTATTCTTTTCAACCGCAATTCAAAAGCAATGTCTTCTTTCACTAAATTCTAATTTAGCAAATTTTTTATTTTTATTTATTATCACTTTTTTTTCAGTTTCTAGTTGTTTGAGTGACTACTGTGAATTTTGCCTTTTCTTTAATGAAAGGGTATGAATACATTTGAGGGCGACTGTATACAGTAAAAAGGGGGAAAAGAAATGTCATCTATACTGGGAAAGAATTGTTGTGCGAGTTGTTGTTTTTTTACTCCGCACATCAGCTCCAGAGAGATGTGTCACCATGCAGAACGGATTTTCCAAAAACTTACAGACAATTTGATCGTCTGTATACCATTTTTGGACCATGCTGCTTTTATTTTTTTGCTCTAGTCTGTTTTATTTTGATCTCAACCTCTCTAAGTTTCCACCACTGCTACCAATACTGAGGGGAAATGGTGGCTCTACATACAAAAGACGTTCTGATGCTTTCTTTTTTAATTGTCTCCATCCTTGTCCCCTATCTGCTCTCTGTAAACACAGCCTGCAGTTCAGCCAAAATGTTCCTGAGATTTTGTTACGTGACTGTCGGTTGCAGCGGAAACACTAACAGCTTCATTGTGGAATTGTTCTCCATGCTTGCCTTCCGTGTGTTCTCTGTAAACAGCCTGCAGTTCAGCTGAAAAATTTGTCAGTTTTTTTTCTCAAATAACTGTTTGCCACAGCTGAGTGACTAATGGCATCATAGTTGTGCAGAGTAGCACACAATCTTTTGTTTTTTAAGGACTGCAGTTTGAGCCAGCAGTCTATTTTGGTAGTTTTTTAAACGAGATATGAAGGGATTTCAAATAAATGTCACAGTTTTAAGCTAGGATTTGGTTTTCTGTTAGATGAGTGCTTCGAGGACTTTTCTGAAAGTTCCTGGCTGAGAAAAAATGTCATTTTGGCCTTTTTCTTAATAGAAAATATTCAGAAAATAAAGATATATATAAATAAACAAAGTTTTTTAAAAATAAAAAAATATGGGAAAAAATAAAATAAATAACAACAATCAAATATTAATAATAAAATAATACAAAATAAAAGTAAATAACAAAAAATTAACTGCTGTGGTAATATAACCCAAAATTTGATGTCCATGCATGTGGAAGCCACGTCTTAAGAGGTTAAAGATAACATGCATTTCAAATCTGCTGGTGGGTTTTAGGGTTCAGAAGGTTAAACTGTAATGTATTAAGAAAAAGAAATTGNTGGTAATATAACCCAAAATTTGATGTCCATGCATGTGGAAGCCAGGTCTTAAGAGGTTAAAGATAACATGCATTTCAAATCTGCTGGTGGGTTTTAGGGTTCAGAAGGTTAAACTGTAATGTATTAAGAAAAAGAAATTGAAATACTCCAATTCTACCTAATTACAGTTGAATATTCTAAGTTTTTTCCCCTCCTCGATGAGAGTAAACTGATTCTATTTTATTCTATAGAATAGAATAGAATAGAATAGAATAATACTTTATTTAGGCCTGGGAAATTATTGAAAGTCTTTGGTCGATAAAACATTTTGTCATCTTGATCTTTGGGAAAGACTCATTTTTCACCGTTTTCTGACATTTTACAGACCAGAACACTAATCCATCAAATGAGAAAAATAACGAACAACAAAATGAATCGTTAGTTGCATCTCTAATACCTCGTCGTAGAAACCAAGGTATGGTTCACTTAAGTTAGTCATGCAACATGTCAACTCCTGTCATCGGTCATTAGGCTCAGGATCAATCTTCACGTCTCTCGGTTAGATCCGCTTAGCCCACTCTGCTCAGCCGTGAGCCCACCAGCTCATCCTGGCTGCAACTTTCTCTCAATCAACTCCTAATACAGCCACACCAACATACACAGCTCAAAATAGGCAACGCTACCACTGAAGCAAATTTCAAATGCAAGTTTGCATGTAAAATAAACGATTGTTTTCCTCTGCATGCACACAGCAAAGTTGCTCACATTCGTACAATAAACACATTAATAACTAATCAGGTTCATTTAAACTCACTGTTTACTTGAAAACACTGATTAGAACGACATGATTTTGTCAAAAGATAACATGATATGATCATATTGTCATGAAACAACTGCACTGTTAACTGATATGCCATATTGAATTATTGCCCAGCCCTGACCTGCACAGTCTGTTGCAATCCAATACAGCAGCCTCGGAATAAAGCCCACCTTTGTGAAAACCATACTGTTCGGTTTTTGTTTGTTTGTTTGTTTGTTTGTTCCAATATAGGCCATAATTAACTGTCGTGACACTGAGACAAAAGCATAGTGTGGTCCAACACAACATCACTGCAACTTCAGAGACTCAGGAAGCAGTGTACATTTAAAGGAACATACCAGTGTTTTTTGTAGGTTTTAACTGCCAAAATAAGAACTTTATAATATTTGTTAAACATGTACAGATTCATTTTACACACTTTTGATTCTGGGATGCATATATCGTGCTCTTAAAAGCAGTCACAGTGGTTTTTTTTTAACTTCATTTCTGACCTTGTATAAATCTGCAGGCTGTTGAAACCTGCTCTACCTGGGTAAGCCCTTAAAATCATCAATAAATCTACACTAGTTTTTTTCCCTCAAGCTTATTTTAATCTTACATATTAAATACAAATGAAATATACAACCAATACAACTCAGATACAAATAAAATATTTGTATATGTGAGTGTCAACTATTCAAATGATGCTGACAAATAATACTTCAAAGAAATAATGCATTTTTGTTGTTCACTGACACGCTGACTAATGTCATATGGAAATGAATGGAAATCAGTAGATGCCTAAGAGGTTCACAAAGACAGGATTTATTGCCAAATCCTTTTACTAAACTGGTTTAGACTGTTTACTCTCAGCGTGCATTCCAGACAACATTTCAACGTCACCGTTCCACTCGTGTCATTGTTGTCTTTTTTTTCCCCATTTACGGCTGCAGGTTGAGCCTTCACCGGAGCCGACCGGTGAGCTCCTTCCCCGTCTGTGTCACCTGATAAAGGGGGAACACGGCTACGGCTTCAACCTGCACAGCAACAAGACAAAAGGCGGACAGTTTGTACGAGCCGTGGACCCCGACTCTGCTGCCGAGAGCGCAGGCATCCGGGCTGGAGACAGAGTAGTGGAGGTACATAAAACACACCCATGTTAAAATAAGTAGAACAAGATACAATAAGGTACAATAAGATACTGGATGCCATCATGAGAAGATTTTGGGGAACTGATGAGGAAAAAATGTGCCGTGTATTAACCCTCCGAAACTTCAGCAGTTTATGGATGTTTTCTTTGATCCTGTCTCATTTTTTCTCACTGTGGGCCAATTTTTTTCTGCAATGTGAAGTCCTGCACCTCTATGCAAACAGCTCAACCATTGTTAAGGTAGAAACAACTCAGACTGCACTTTGAATTTCTTTCTTTGTTTTACAAAAATTTGAATAACCTGGAATCAACATGTACAACATTTTTCCAAGTGACTGCTGATGTTACCACTACTGGAAAAAAAATAGTGGCTCCACATACTATTTAACTTTTTACATGACACTGCCTGCTGTCACTTTAACCAAAAACTGTTTTGGTTGTTGTCCTGTAACTGTTGGTTACACTTGAGTCACTTGTGGCTTCTTGATTGTGCCAAGGATGGCTGAATTTTTAGTTTTTTTTAAATCAAATTTGGTTACAACAAATTTGATTTTCATGAAATATCCCGATTTTAATTTTCCAACAGAACGGCTGAGGTTGAAAATCCCAATCCTTTGTGTTTTTACAGCGTCTGGCTCTGATACAACTTGTTTTCAAACCTGCCGGCAGGTTTTGGGGTTCAGGGGGTTAATCAGTTCTGTGCACTGGTTTAATGTGTGATTGGATTAGAGCAGATTAGCCGGATTCTGGCTTAGAGTAGATGGAAGAGAGAGGTGTTGTTTAAAGAGGGAAAGGAAGCCAAGATAATATTTCTATATATATCCATTTTTGTGTATGAGGTGTGCAGGTAATGTTATATAGAGGAAGTGTGTGTAAGCAGGAAGGGAACTGATGTAAATCAGTTCCTTCTCAGATTGTATCGGTGTTAGTCCTGTTGTGTTATAGCTTCTCCCTGATTGCTGCCTCCTGTCCTGTCTCATTTGTTTCTCTGCATTGTTTCTCTTCTTCATCCTCACTTTCCTGCTCTGACGTTTTCCTTTTCTCTGTCTTAGGTGAACGGAGAGACCACAGAGGGCCTGAGGCACTCGGAGGTGGTGGCGCTCATCAGAACAGGAGGAGGGGAAGTTCGCCTCCTAGTGGTCGACCCAGAGACGGACGAGCTTTTCCAGAGACTGGGAATTACACCAACTGCCAGCCACATTAAAGGTCAAACAGCATGCATGCTCGCATACAAACCTATTTATAGGTCCTATATTTTACACTTTTTCAACAAATAAATCAACGTCTCACGTGTCCCAAGAACATGTCTGTTAATTCTTTTGCTCACACTACTGCACAGATGGTTCATTTCACTATGACCATATGGAAGTCCTGGTTTTAGACCTGTTCTAAAGCAAGCTGCTGCTGTCTGTGCACTATTCTATTAAAACACTCTGACAACAGTTGATTGTATGGCAACTGACCAAGACCGGATCTTCCATCACTTCTAACTTTCTCTCTGAGCAATCATTTGACATGGAAATATTGCAGAAATCAAAACACAGTCGTTGTTGTTTTTGGTTTTTTAACTCATTATACAATGTGTAGCTTAGAAAATGGCTCTACCGTGACTGTTGGTTAACATGTAGTCTTAGTGGACTGGGTTTCAGTCACTATTTCATACTTGTTCCATTGTCCGACAACAGAATCTGATAATATGTAAATGAGAGCAGCTTTCTTGGGAATTCATTTGTGTTAAACTGCAGTATGTTTGAGCACAGAGAGCAGGAGAGAAGCAAACAGATGTAAACACCAGCTGAGTTTAGGTTGCACTGAAGCACAACTGGAGACATGAAAATACAGTAACCAAGCCAGTTGAGCTTAAAGTTTTCACTGTTTCTGAATGTCCCTCTGCTTTACAGTTTCCATGGAGCTCTGCCTATGGGCATACGATCAAAGCTAATGGTTACTTTAGCCACATTAGCTGCTTAACATGCTAACACTAACAAGGTGTTTGTGATTAAAGGGGCAAAATTACCATCAATAATAAAAGCAATCCATGAGATCTTCAGTTCCTTAGATGCTGGGCGTGCATGTGCACTCTTGTGTTCACTCTTGTGGCCACCAACAGAACATGCGGTGTGTTTTGCCAGTGGAACCAGCTTTAGAAAGTAAATAAATCTAGTGAGTTTTGAGGCAGCTGCTCTTTTTAAATTGGTCATCTCGAAGCCACAGGCAGTGAGGGGACAGGATTATAAAGAGACGACTATTGATTCATTTGGTGGAACGTAACCTCTAAGGTGAAGTTCTTACTGGTTAGTAAAACTGGGACTACCTAGTTGCTGGGGAGCTTATGGAACAACATCCACAAAACAAAAATGGATTTCCACCATGTGGTGCTTTTAAAATCTCCAGAGAGATTACTTAATGTTGTGTCTGGTACCTCTCTCACAGAGATCTACGTGGATGAAGGAGCAGCAGAAAGCATCCCACCAACACCGTCTCCGACCACTGAACTCCCCACCGCTGGTACACCGATCATCAACGTCACTCTGACAAACTCTCCAATCACAAGGTCGTCCCCGAAACCCCGGACCAATGGGAGCTCAGCGTCCCAGTCCTCCAGGAGTTCAACCACCCAGTCAGAGATCAGCAGCTCGGACATGAGCATCCAGGTGAGAGAGGAGCTGAGAGAGGCTGAAAAAAACCGTCAGAACATTAGAAGGAGGGTGAGCTGAACATAAAGCACGTCTCGTTGTGTGTTGCAGGTCCCTGATGAGGACGAGAGGCGTGCTTCGGACCCTTTCACAGACAGCGGCCTGCGTCTGAGTCCCACAGCAGCTGAGGCCAAACAAAAGGCCCTTGCTGGCCGCAGCAAGAAAAGAGCGCCCCCTATGGACTGGAGCAAGAAACAACAGATTTTCAGCAACTTCTAAACCATAAAGACGAAGAAAAAAAAGAGGAATAATGGCACAAAGTGAGGAAGAATATCAAGATTCTTTACTGTTTCTACTTTAATATTAAGTATCATACCCCCATCTTGCAGAAGCATGGACAAAGAAAGAGTAAAAGGGAAAGAAAAAGGTGGGTGGGGGCATTTGTAGTGATACTCTTAAACTCTATTTTGTGTATCAGTGCATTGTAAAATATCCAATAGTATTCTCTAGATGTCTGCTATACAGCATCTGTAAGGACAAAGACATGTTCTATGGATGTGTCATTAATCTTTCATGACATTAATAACCATTTACTAACAGATTATTTCATGCAAACACTACCTGGACAGCACAAAGTGTTTCTCTATATTAAATTAGTCATTTCAGAGTTGTGAATAGGGACTATGAGCTTCTACGCACTCCTGTTTCTGTGATATGATCAGCATTTTTTTTCAATCTGGAACGTAGATAAGCTTTTCTGTTTTAACTTCTGTAGATTTTATTGTTTTTAAAGGAACAGTTTGGTGTATTTTCAATTTCCAGTCAGGTCTGGAGTTGTTATCTACTTTGTTTCTCAGATTAGGTACCATTTCGATGTAAATACAGAGCAAACGGGTGAGGCTAAGTTATAAAATTAATCATGTTTGATCACCTCAGTGCTTCTCTTGAATGTTCCAGAGTGATTTCTGGAAGAAAATAATATTTTAAAGACACAGATGGTTGACTAGAAGTGTAGACCCTCTGATTATTTACTGTAGCCTTTTGAAGAACTTTCTCAACAGCGTGATGGTCGAAGCTTTCTCAGTGACGTGAAACAAACTTTCACAACATGAGTGGAATGTGACAGTAGTGACAGTTAATAATACATCATGAAATGTGCCCAATGTTCATATTCACTTTAAATGTTTTATCAATGAGGTGACCCAATGGTTGAGTGATCAGAGAAAATAAAACAAGTTAAACAAACATTTTGACTGATCATTAAGCTCCAAATGAAAAAGGACGGATGACAATCTAGAAAAGAAAGTGATCAACAGCGAAGACAAACACAGATTACCAGGGGTGTGTCTGAAAGAGGACACGGGACTGAAGGCAGACTCAGATGTACTGCTTTTGGACAGGTTGGTATAATGTTTGGAGTGAGCTGCGTGGCTACAACCAGTACACACACCCCAACAAACAAACATCAGCTGTGAGAACAATACATGTCATAAATACGTCTCACTCACCTTCAGAAGGGACAAAGTTTAAGTTGGCTTTACATCTCACTCACTCTGTAACTTCAAGGTCCCACTCTGTGTCTGTTTTCAGCAAATTAATGGAAGTCTGTTATGCCCCCAAAATGTGCTTCAATGTGTGTAGAAACCAAAAAAAATAATAATCTGCACGACTTGGCACAACTAAAAGGCCATGATTGATTCACCTGTTTCTAACAGTGACAAAATTCAGAGACTTCTCGGGTGAACTGCAAGCTGTGTTCACACAAAGCCGAGAGCAACGAGAATGGAAACAAATGAAAACTGTAAATAGTAAAATATCTATAGTGTGTGGAGTACCTTAAAAAAAAAAAAGTATTGATAACATTGTGCATATTGACTCCAAGTATTTAATTGAAATTATAACAATATTTTTTTATGATGATTTATAGCATGATAACTTTGTCATAATACCCAAAAGACAAGGTCTCTCTACTTCTAGCCACGGTTGTGCTGTTTCCATAGAGGGACTTTATATTGCAATGAAAAATGAACCCACAGTGACTAAAAATGTGACAGTAGCAAAGAAACACCCAGAAATGTGTTAAAAGAAAACTTCAAACTCACCTTTTTCGCTTTGCTTCAATCCAAGCGTGTTTTCTATTATGGCTTGAAATGTGTTTCATTATTGATGTTACCTGGTAGTTGATTTCTTATGCTCTTCTTAATGACTATATTTAGCACATTAAGTTGCATTTAAGCCGCAACTTTAGATGTTTAGAAGAAGTTTGATTGATAATGTGACTTTATTCTGAGGAGTGAGCTTCGGTTCATTTTGTGGTTAAGGTGAGAATTCATCAGGTCTGTTTGACTCTTTGCATGAAGACTATTGTGAAAACTGTACAAAAGCGAGTGGTGATACTTGTATTTGCAGAGGCAGGTGGAAGGCAGCCCTCTGCGTTCTGTCTGTGGGACAGTGATGAACTCTTCTCCCTGCGTCCTGAGTTCCTGTCAAGGTGATCTGATGAAATTACGGATTGAGTTGGCATATCTCATGGCTGACAGATAACCTGCACGGAGCTAGCAGGTTAGGTTTGAAAGGGAAAAAAACACAGTAAACATCATGCAGTATTTTAAAATATAACATGCGTAATCTAACTTACCACAAATATCACTTAACTTAGGTTTAACTCTGATGTCTCGTCATTTCTTAAAGCTACATTGCACCCCAACCCTTCACATTCTGACAAAAGACACTGGACTGGTAACTATAACAACCATCCTTCAGCATGCAGGACATGATTTATTTCAAGAATCCACAATCCAGCTGGATTTGAAGAGATTTTTACACACATAAACTATAAATCATATCATAGACTCAAAAGCATTTTATTTCCATTCCCACCTTCAAAAACAAGGGAACACGACTGGCAAAAGTAATCCACAGAAAAACAAAAAAGGTACCAAAGTCTTTCTGCCAAATTGCAATAATATCATGCTCTTTTATTGTATAAACAGAACTTAAAGGGAAAAAATCACTACTTTTCTTCTTCAAAAAGCTGTCACTTGTCTCTTTTCCTTATAATTATGACTGATGCAGACTACTACAGTATCATCCAAAGAAAATGTACACTGACCTTCATACAAAAACTGTTCATGAAACTGAGAAAAAAACATCATTAAAGTAAATTTTAAAAAACAAGCAACCAAGAACATCTTCTTGTACAAGCTCTGAATGGAGAGACTGTGGAACTAGAACTAGACTGGGGCTCGGATTGTCTCGTGTCTGACTAATGATTGGTTTGATTATCTAAATGGTCACAGTCGAGGTCAAATCAAGTGCCAACATCTGTCCGTTTCCAAATCTCTACATGCTGCAAAACACTGGCAGGTTATCAATGTAAAAATATAGATCCCTGGAATCAATTTTGCTGGCAAAATCGTAACCATGATTAATCATAAAAGCCCTGCTGTGCGTGTACTTCTACATCAGCATGATGCACATATTGAATATTGAAATAGCAGCTTGTCTCTACTTATTGTCTGCTTTTGAATTTCAGTGGCTATTGCTCTTTGGCAGTGTCCTAGCTCTTATTTTATTTAAGTGTACTGTGCTCTATACTTGTTGTGAATTGAGGTGGTGTGTTGGTGCGTAAAGGGCAATCATATTACTCTGAAACATGGACAGATTAGTCAACAGGGCAAACGGGCACAGATCCAGAGGCACAAGGAGTCACTGGGCTCCCGCTCTCATCCCAGAATTATAACACATATCCCAGAAAGAGTAGCAACAACATGAGACACTTTATGACCATAAATGAAGGATGTGAAATGAGCAAAATTAGAAACAAAACAACCTTAAAGACATGTAAAACGACCGCAAAATATAAGCACTACTAAGGGATGCAAAATGATCAAAATGTTCCAAAGAGACGCAGACTGGCCGGATAAAAAATGATCAAAATGTGACACAAATAGATCAAAATGGACAAAAAAACAATCAAATAAGACAAAAAGAAGACTAAAAAGAGACACAAAACAACTAAAATGATCAAAGCTGGACAAACAACAACTATAAAGAGATGCAAAAAGACACCAATTGATATTAATAAATGTAAAAAAAAAAAAAATCTGTGAGTGACAAAATAACCCAAATTTGATACAAGATGACCTCAATAAGATGGAATGGCTCCAAGAAGATGCAAAATGACCACAGACAGACTGGTCACAAAGAGATGCAAAACACTCATTAACCAAAAAGTACCAAAATATAACACAAAATGACCACAACGGGACAAAAAAACAGCCATAAGGTGATGCAAAATGACAAAGAGGAGACACAGAATGGCTAAAAATAGATGCAAAATGAGACATAAAATGACCAAAATAAGACAAAATATCCTAAATGTCACACAAAATGCCCTCAAAGACAGAATGGTTATAACAGATTTGAAGAAATGAATATGTGCCGCAAAATGACCTCAAAGACACAGAATGGCTACTGGGAGATGCAAAAACAATCATGAGCCACAAAACGACTAAAATGTGATTCAGAATTACCAAAATTTGAGAAAATACCTAGAAAAAGACGCAAAATGACCACAAAGAGACACAGAGGGGCTAAAAATAGATGCTAAAATAATCTAAATGAGATACAAAATGACCAGAATGAGACACAAAATGACCCCCAAAAAAAGACCTTGAGGAGATAGAATGGCTTAAAAGGAGTGCAAATGTGACACAAAACGATCTCAAAGAAACAGAATGACTGCAAAGAGATGCAAAACTATCATGATGAGCCATAAAAATCCCAGAAGTTACACAAAATGACCTCAAAGAGACACAGAACCGCTAAAAAGAGATGCAAAACAACCTAAATGTGACGCAAAACGACCACAGTGAGACGCAAAAGATCTTCAATATACACAAAACCACCACCAATCTCGGCTAGGTGGCTTTCAGTCTGGGTGTCTTGCTCCTCTGTGGGACATCTGTGCCCTGGGACCTGTTGTGTTACAATCCATCCATGTTCTGAAATATACATCAAACGTACACTGCTGCACACACGCATTCGCACACAGAGTGAAAACACAGACACAGAGCATGCACACAAAGTAGGCTGGGGCAGGCTACAACCCATTAAATGAAAAAGTTATTCTCCCTCCCCACACCCCTCCCCTACAGTGCACATGTCATATGAACACTATCTAACTACCCAAAACATGCTCATAGGCCAAAAACAAACCTCATGCTCGCCTACTCATGCAGGATCTCACACACACATACACACACACACACCTCAGTAATATGGCAAGGTTAGTCATTGTAAAAGTGCGGATTAGTCGCAGTTTCACAAAGTTGTTTTTATTTGCCATTTAGTATTGGGATATTTTTGCCAGTCATAGACACTTAATTTCACAGTGCAACACAGTATGACAAACACTGACATTAGGGT